GAATCTGCTCTGGAGGTGAGACTGCAGAGCCATTGGTCAGTGCATTGGTCACTAAGTAACTCCAGTACGCAGTGCATGTGCAGAAGTTTCCACCGATTCTCCGGAGTTGTGCGAACTAGGTATCGAAGGCTGAAAATGCTCTCGGCAGCATTTGTTTCGCAGCGCAGCGTCTATTTTTTTCCTTGGTTGTCCCAGATGCCATGGTAGTGTCCCCAGCAAAGCAAGTGGTTGTGGCATGTTGCAGTAGCCATCAATCTTGCAGGAAACACTGGCAGTTGCGATGGAGGGCGCAGGTGGCTGAGCAGCAATACCCTGCAGTATGAATGTGAAGTCTTGATTGATGAGTCCGGATTGCTTCGCCTGTGGCATTCTTAAACTGTGACTATTGGTTTGGGAATATGCTCAACAACATACATAAAGGTTTGGCAATCCCTGATGTATTTCAAGTAAATGATGCCAGTGGTCAGTGGTCCATAAGGAATTCACCAAAGTCATTACCTGGACCACTCTTCTTTATCATCCAAGGCACAACTTAAGTCTTGGGACAATCGTCCAAATCTGGCACAGGAAAATCATCACTCCAGAAGCGAGAATCCCCTTACAGGAATTAGTGATTCACAGTGAGGTCAACGAACACTAAGAGAGCTCCTCATAGGAATTCGACCAAAGAACTGTTCAGACACTCTTCCAGCTCAGTCAGAAATTCATGGCCCAAGCTTTTTTCTCTCTGAAGAGCCAGGCCTTATCCAGGGCGGCCTGGAGGCCTTGCGCCGCTTGGGCGAGGAGCGGCAGCAGCAGCACTTCGCGGGGATCGACGACCAGTTCCAACAGGCCCGAGTGGTGGGGGCCTGTGGGCGGCAGTTTTGTTGGTCCGTGCGTTTTCTGCGTCGGGAATTGATTGGAACACGTTTCTTTCATTTTTGGGGGATCCATTCTAAAAGCAGAGGCCTTGTCAGATCTCTCCAACGACGATCCGGAAATCACATGGCATCGCCGATAAAGAGGAAAATGGCTTTGGAGGGCTGCAAGTTTTCTTGCCCGCACTTCCAGCAAGATTGCCGATCCAACTTGGGGTGGTCAGAGGTGGGATGTTGAGAGAGGAGTTTCTCAGGAAGAGCGAGTTTGGAACTATTCGAGTCAGGTGGTTTGACAAGTTCAATTCCACAGCTTCCACAGCTTTCCGGCTGTTCAAGGTACGGTGTGAAATTGTCGGGGCTGGGAGAGCTCATGATGAGCTCATGTGTGTTTAGTGCCACTATGTGCCACTCTCACAATCGTGTCAGGAGCTCTCGGCAGGCAAGCAGGCGAGGGCATTCAATTTATGGAAAGAAGAGGGGTTGGTTTGTAATTGAAGGATTTTGGATCAATCAGTCCTTTTAGGGACTTGAGTGGTCTGAGGTCAGAAGCGCACTCAGGCTATAGTTCTCTTTTGGAATGCAGAGCTGTGCTCAAAGCTCTCAGGATGAACAGCTGAAATTCTCTACACCCCAGAGATGCCCAGACATAGTTTACCTCTCATGAATGCTGTTTGAAAATCGTCCTAGCGTTGATGGGCGTTAACAAGTTTATACATGGTTCTACCGAGCTTTACCACACACTTGACTTAGGCGCAAAAGAGATTTTGTGTCCCTCGAAGGTAATCCAGGGAAGAACGGGTCATTTTTGACACTTCTGATCTTGATTGATGAATGGATGAAGAAGAACGAACATGATCCATAAAAATCCATACGTTCCGTAGATGCTCCTCGTAAGTGATGACGAAAGACTGACACCCCTGTTCCTGCAACTATGTTTCTTTACCATTGTTTGCCTGTATCTATCTATACTGTCATATATACACAGTGTATACCATCTCTCTGACGATCCACGAGACAACCCGCAGCTCCGTTGGCTCGGCGACGACCACCCGCCGTCGTCGGACCGCGGCGCGCGCGGGGCGGAACGCGCGCCCACGTGCTGCCGCGGGTCGTGGATGTGTGATGCGCCACGACGTGCCAATGGATGACTCCCTACTTTTGATTCAAAAGTTGGCCCACAAGGCTTGAACTTCGGGGGAGGGCTGAGGGCGGGAACCGAGCTGGAGGTCTTGAGTCTCTCCTTGCTTGGTCAAATTAGCAGAGCTAGGGGTAGTCCGACTGGATATAGGGTGGAAACACATTGCACTCGAGGCCAAGCTTACAGGCTGGGTACTGTTCTTAATTATCGGCTTGCAATGGGAGATGGCCAAGCTGATTGGAGCCATATGATCAGAAACTGCAAACTCACCTCACCTGAGCCATTAGGTACAAGACAGGTTGTTGGAGTGATGGTTTTGGTCGCCTGGCCAACGGCGGCCAATAGTGACCAATGGCGGCCAATGGCAATAAGACTCCAACAGCAAATGATTGACGATTCGATAGATCTCAGCGGTTTGGTCTAATCCTCAAATCACAGAATCTTCAACTAATGCAGGGCGATCTGGGTTCTTTGACCAGTGTCAAGATCATGGGCCCACTTCGTTTGCTCGCCTTGCTGGCCAGAAATCCATAACTTCTTCCTTTCTGGAAGCCGAGACATTCGATGGAGGAGTGTCCTGCGACTGCATGGGCCGGATAGGTGTTGGCTTTTTCGAGAATTCAGAATGCCGGGGGACAAGATGCTTTTGTTGCTCGGGGAGGGCATTTTTTCCATAATTCCTAATCTCATTCACTTCCCCCTCACACGGAGGAAGCACCAAGAAACGTTGTTGGTCAAACAACCCTGTAAACAAACCTGTCCAGAGGCCGGTTTTCCTGGTTGGGCTGGGTTGACGTCTTTTTTCTTCCGTTTGGAAGGCAGTGCAAGTGGTTGTCCAGAAGTTGCGGTTTCTGCACTGGACAACAAGACCTTGGGAAAGCGAGACCTTGAGGTCCGCACTGCCACGTGCAGCTGGAGTGCTTTTTGCTCTAATGCCACTGTCTGCCGCTCGACAGAGGACTTTTCCGTGGAGTACTATTGATTTGGGGTGGGTGGAAGCTGGTGGTCTCGTTATACACTTCAGCTCCTGCATTTTCATGTTATTTATCCCTGAATTCATGTTTTGCTTGATCTCGTGATGGACCAAGTCAGGAAGGTTCCCCAGTCAGAAGTTGTGGCTGACTTGTTTTTTGCATTGAAAGCAATTTGGTACCGGCACTTACATCGAGAAACTCAATTTATCCTCATGGGCTCTCGACTGCTCAGTGCTTGGATCTAGCTTGCCCTACCTTCAAATTCGTTCCGAGCGGATATTTTTGGGTTTTATTGTATGGTCGCATCCTGGGCACCAGGGCGAAGTTTGGGTATCCTCCGTGTGTTGTGATTTTCACTTACAAAATGGTTCAAAAGAGGCACACAGTGTGAATGGCACTGAACTGCAATCGAGTGGATGAGTCATGACGGCAGGTCGCCCTCCTGGTGGTGGCTATGCTGGTGGAGCTCTTCGTCACCTCTAAGAGGCCGACGACTGGGAATCTTCCAGTTGGTATAATAATTTCGTGATGAACTCTCAAATGTCTAGAACATGTGCAGAAGGTGACACTTTGCGTTTTCACTGGATGAGAAGATCAAGAGGTCCTGCCCAGTTCATTGGAGTGGAAAAGACTTCTCCAGATGGCTGTTGGATTCCGGCTTGTTTGTATCCATCGTTTACTTGTTGCCCCACAAAGCCGCATCATATTTTCATCGCACGTTTCTTCAACAATCTAGGAACCAAATGAATCCTGCGAGGGCTCTTTCAAGGGAGCTCCCCCCGCCTGAGCTGGCAAGAAGCTTCCTGGAAGAAGCCCGAGCTTTCCGTGCCAACGTCCTCGGTCCTCCTCACGGCCTAACCCTCCCCGAAAAGGGTTGAACAGAAGTTTCCTTGGCCAACAGAGTGATGAGGTGAGACTGACCTTTCACTGCCACTCCAAAGGCAGACGCCAACAGATCCGACGTGTTCCTGCCACCACCAGAGTCGTCGTTTGTCGGAGTAGGTTCCACGTTGGCCAAGTCGGGCTGCGATCTTTGTGGTTTCTTCTGGCACTTTGGCAGCACAGCTGGACAGCCGTTGCAGGAAGACTTGGTCGTCAGCCTTGGAGCCTGTTGGAGTACCTTAGTTTCAGAAACGTGGCTCACCCTGCGAATGCTTTGGCAAAGATGCCATGAAACCGGTGTAAGCTTGCATTCCGACTACAGTGGTGGTCGCTTGTGCCACAGTTGCAGTCCTTACTCAACAACAACAGCAACAACAGCAACAACGCTTCAGCTGTACATTTGATTTGACACAATGTGTTTTGATATGACTTGACAAAGGGAGATCAGGTCAGAGATGAACAGAAGGGCTTGTTTCCTTTTTTCCCACGTGGGCTGTTGGATTCACCGTGATTCACCTTAGGCTCACCCATGACAGGGAACGACTAATTGATTCTTCTCTGGGAGATCTTCTTATTCCTGCTTGCTTGTCTTGCCTCTGCCTTCTTCTTCTTCATCTTCTTGTTCCTGCGCCTTTCTTCTTTCTGCTTCTTTTCTCCTGCCTGCTTGTCCTCTTCTTGTTCTGCCTTCTTCCTCTTTGTTTTCCCTTTTCTTGTCATGAGCGGCTCCTTCTGAGTTGGCCTTGAAGTCCGTGGCACACCTTCTGAGCTCGACTTCATTCGAGCCTTCAGGCAGTCCTCGCCACGGTGGACATGTCAATCCTTATTCCAGTGCCTTGGGCCTTGGGGTCGTTCGTGTCAAGCCATGCTTTGCCCAGAGAAGGCCGTATCAATCCTAAATATTGACGCAAGGCCCACGTTGTTCAGGTCAGCCAGGGTTCAGCTCGAAGGCATTGAGTTGCTCTGAAAAAGTCATCTTGGACCAGTGACGGGTGCTTAGTGGGGAATGAATATGAATGAATGAGGGAATGACCCACTATGGATTTCTTGGTATTCATTCCCTCATTCCCCACCAAGCACCAGTCCATCCGTGTGAAGATCTCCTTCGACATCTCCCAGCAGCTGGGCTACGGGGCACTGGCCTCGGGCGTGATGGTGGCGGCCTCTCAGGCAGCGGAGCGCAACTGTAGGTAGACACACTGGTTCGGGGGAGCAAGCTGATTTTGGACCATTGGGTAGTTTGCTATCCAGGAAGAGAGTTGGATGAACTCGGTTTGAACCATTAGATCATTATATACATATTCCTGTGCTTTTCTTTCAGATATTTCAGTCCAAGCTTTTCCTGCAAGCTCCCTGCGAGGCCTTTCAGCCTTTTTTGGCTTTGCTTTCACGCTGGCTGGTGATCGGCCAGAGTTATCAGTACCAACGCCGCTTCATGCTCATTTGCCTGGGCCGCTGGGTCTAAGGGACGCGAGTAGGTGTTCGTTGACTTTCTATTGGACCGCACCCGCCCACCCAGACACACAAATGCTTGATTCTCAAGTATGGAAGTCGTTGATCGTGGTTGATCGTGGTGAGACGTGATTTGATCCAGACATCATTTGGGTCTGTGAAGATACATGCTATCCAAACAAGATCCTTGTCCTGACGGGGTTTCCCAGTGACATCTCCCAAAAATCACACCAGTAGCTTGCTTACTCTTTGTACCTCAGGTGCTGAAGCGATCCTTACATGGCTGATGGCCCCTGTGCTGGAGGCTTGCAACCATTGGTCAGACCAAACAGCTCCTTGGGCGAAAGGTGAAGCACCGAAATGTGTGATGTATGATGCTTTCCATTGTGTTTCCTTTTTCAAATCAGGCATGGTGATTTCATCCTAAGCACCTTCGCACGGACCAAATAGGTCTCCTCGGAAAGTTTATGCAGATACCATTCTAATGCTAAACCATAAACAAAAACAACAAATGACATTAGCCGCCTCAGATCCATACCTAGGTGCTGTACCTTTTGGTCTTCTTCCGTGCGATGACCGGTGGTGTTCGGACACCCAGGAATCGCCAAGGAGATGAAACCTGATTGGTGAGGTCATTTAAGGCAATGACAGGAGCTGAGGACAAATGCTTCTCAAGCAGTGTCATTAAGCTCACAAGTGTGAAAAACATCAAACGGCCTTGCTCGGATGAAGCATCAACCGCGCTCTGTGGGTTCTTCGTACTAATTCTGCTGCGGAGACTTCAGGACAAGATCATGTCAACTTTGACCGGCAGAGTGGCCCAAACTACTGTAGGGCCTTTATTTCATAGCTTAACGGGACCCTTTTGGGCTACTCTAGGCAGCTATCAGCCAAGTCGCCCTGATGGTTTGGATGAAGCCGGGAGCATCGCAGTGGGTAGCATGCACTTCGAGCGACTCCATGCTTCTGCTGCAGACTGGGCTCTTGTCCCGTTTTGCTGTAAGGTGATCATGCTCTATGGGGTGCCACTGGCCTGCTGTGTGGCTTGATTTGATAGTCTTGGTCCATGGCTAGCAGCAAGAGGGGAGTCAAGTCTCAACCCTCAAGGGTCCAAAGGAAACAATGGAGCCACGTAGCATTAATATCCATTTATGTATCTGAATCTTTTTGCGGAGATCAGTTTGTATCCATTTGTTGAGTTTTCATGACCTTCCATCCATGCGGGATGTGACCTTGTGAGACGGTTGCTTTCAAACAGCAAAGCGAACAACTTGAGGTTGACTTGACTCTGCGACGCAACGCTTTCTCCCACTCCAGTAGATGTTTCCCAATTGCTTTTCCGAGGTCTATGATAGCGCGCCCTTGGAAGATCGTCAGTCCTTGTCGATTCGCTACTACCTGTTCCTTTCGATTGGAGTTTGTTTGGGTCCTGTCGTGAGCCGCTCGGTGTTCGTCTTTGGGGAAGGGTGATGCAGTGCTGGGCCCCACCACCACCACCGCCACCACCACCACCACCACCACCACCACCACCACCACCACCACCACCACATCCACCACCACATCCACCACCACATGCGCAGGTGTCCTTCATTTGAGGTTGCGGTGGTTGACCAGTCGTTGACCAGTCCAAGAGCTCCCTGGGCCCTGGGCTCAAAGTTTTCCAGGACCCGGGGGCTTGAACCCTAAAGCCCAAACACTGCCCGGCTGGCTGTCAGAGTTTACGCCTAGTGCGGCACAGAAAAAGGAAAAGGTGAACAAGCCCACCCCACCATCTCTGGCCTGGCTCCTAACCCCGCCGAATGATTCAACCAGGTGCCAAATTGGTGAATCCTTTTACACCCATTAGATGCTTCCTTGAAATGCATGTGCCAAAATGCCCTGGTGCCACGATTCGTGATCCAAGACCAACCCCAAATCAGCGCAGCCTGGCCTGAACATGAAGCGCTGATTCCCAAGCTCACTCGCAGCCCCACCCAACACACAACACCTGCTTCTGAATTCAGCAGTTTTGCCTGCCCATTAAAGACGACCTAGAGCTCTTCAAGGGTCAAAGTAGGCAGTTCCAACTTACTTGATAATTGCATTTGGGAATCTCCTAGTCAACGCATCCTGTAGGTAAAACCCCAACGCATGCATACACCGTCAAACCAACACACAGCTGTAATGCAAGTAAAGGGTTCCCACCCCACCAGAAAGCATATTGCAAATGGGTGCTTCGGCACTGGATCCTAGGCAGTGTGATGTTGAGCTTGCATCAAGGTGGAGCCCACCAAGCCTGTCACTTCGAGAGTTGGGATGGGTATGTTCTCTTGAATGTCATAGTGGACTTCTCAGAGGTCACCAAGGATATCAAAAGAGAGACATGTGACATTTGACCTTGAACAACTTTCATTGTATTGGCCAGTCATTGAGCACACAGATTGATTCATTGATGGTTTCCCTGTGGCTGCCATTCGCATACTTGGCAATCATTGAGGGTCAATGGCTTTCAAACAGCTTGCCAGCAAGAGGGCGATCCCAGACACAAGGAATTTCTTGAAGTGATCCGGAGTCAGGTTGAATCCTAGTGCCATACGTGTCCTTTTGGCACGGAGGTTTACATCCGTTTGACTCTTGCACTCATGACTACTCAGGTTTTACCGGGAGGCAAAGCATCTCCATCCTGGGCTTCGTGTGGTCTGCAGCCACTCTGCTGACCAAATGCCAACCGCAAGAGATCCACTGCTGGCAAGCCAAGTCGAACCGGATCCGTCCGTTCGGAAACAGGTGGCACTTTTGAGCACATGGTTACTGCCAAAAGAGATCGAGGAAACCCACGAGAAGGACAAGACCCATCATGACGAGGCTTGGCAGCTGCAAGCAGCTGCAACTCTTATGCGGTTGAGGTTCACTGGGTTCACTGATACGTAGATACTAGTAACAAGGGCATCGCTACTAGTAGCAAGGACGCTACTAGTAACAAGGGCATTTAACTCTTGTTTGACTTTGCATCTTCTTGGTGGAGTGATCTTTGTGGAGAATCCTGCAACTATTCTAGTCATTCAGGCCTCTTGTCCAATTAGTTGGGATGCCTTTTCTCGAATTTAGTTTCCTTTTTTCGGCAAGCCTTCTCACAAGAGTTAATGACAGCGGTGCCCATCGTACTGGGAGCGTCTTCTTTTTGGCGGGAACACTTCTCAACGGAGCAATACTTTCCAGAACATCAACATCACAACCTGCTCGGGACAACCTTCCACCAACCCTTCTTTGCCTTCTGTGCGAGGCGACGGGCGAAAATAGTGCTTTGAGCTTGGCCCAGGCAGTGCAAAGGATTCCAGTGCAGACCAGGAGGGGCACGTTAGATGGTCATAGTTGGGACATGCCAGGAGATTTAGTGACGGATTCTTTGATTGTTCTGGATATACTGATAATACTGATGTGCAATCCTCTGTGTGAGCGCACTACATTTGCAGCATAGGAGTGTGGTATTCTTGCAATAGTCGTGGGGTCGGTAGATATACTATATCTGGAGTCCGAGTCTAAAGGTTGAAAGACATTGTGACTGTTCCCAGCCTATCTGGGATTCATTTCTTTTTTTGGACCCTCCCGACATTCCTCATCAACCCCAGGAGAGCGCTAGTCATTTCCGCGGTGCTGTGCCTTGGTCACTTACATACCCTTACCAAGCTCGCTATATCCATACTACCCCTACTATCCTCACATATCCTCACAACCGGTACCATCGACTTTGCTGAGTGTTCTTGTTTATAGACAGGGGTGTATATATATATATACACTGGGGTGCCAAAAGTTGCGCTTCTTGACTTCTAAAACATCACAAATCCTTTCCCCTTAGAATCCTACGTGCAACATGTCGACACCTCAGTGGCGGTCGGATTTCCACACCTGAAAGCCTTATAAATAATTTAATTTTAAACGGGTGTGGAAATCTGACCGTGCTGTACCTGCCACGCAAAATGGACGTGTTAATCCGATCCGCTGTAGACTGCAAGTGTCATGTTGGAACAGAGTAAGAAGCGTAAACTTTAGGGTTCTTGAAGTATATAAGTCTATGGAGTGAGCGGCCTGACGCAGTCCTCGCATTCAACTGGCCTACAAGTCATTTCTTTTTTACCCAGGACAGTCTTGTACTAGGGGCAACCCGAATAAACACATTATCATATCTTCCGAATCCCCTGGACCTGTGCTACTTACCTTTGGCAACGACCGCTTTTTCTCTGTGAGTTCAGCACATGAGGTTCTGGTCCCTGAAGTCATAAACTTGAAATAGACACGTATTCCAATCAGTTGTCCAGTTGATTGGGAGGTTTAAAACACTTAAAAACTAGTGCTTCTCTGAAGGCCCGTGTAGCAGAGCTTTGCCCCCAGGTTGCCCACCCGCCTTCATGAAGGAGCATCGAAGTTTCTCCGGTCTTGACTCAAGAACATTGATCTGACCAGAAAGACGTCCAAGCAACGAAGTCTACAGCTTCCCTTTTGAATCCTGATAGTTGCTAAGACTATCTAACACATTCTAAAACTACATCCCACCTGGTCACCGAAAACGCCGTCGTTTCGCGTCGTGAGGTTCTCCGCCGAGAGGAGCTTCTCGATCGGCGCCATCGAGGTGGCGACGGCACTGCTGTTGGAGGTCCGCGTCCGATGGTCCAACGGGTTGGAGGTCCAGGACGGGATTGGATGGTTGAGACATGTTGGCACACTGCGACCTTTTTAGGGGGATGACGGGGATGAGTGGTTCCGTCATGCATCACAAAGCAACATGCTTTTGCATCAGTGTTGACTGTCACGAAGCATTGAACTGGTAGTCAAGGTCTTGCAGCTCACACCATGCAGCACGCCACGATAGTGCAACACTTTGCTTTTCTTTTTTCCAATCCCACTGAGGTGGAATACAGCTGGAGCCCTGAGCAGATTGGCTACGCGTTAGGGGTCATTTTCTTCATCACTGCGGTGGTGGGGGGTGTCATTGCTCTGCTACGGCGCAAGGCGACCGGCGGGGTGGGACGTTGATCGGTACGAGGGACCTGGAATTTCCCCAACGGAGGTGGGACGTGCCCTGATTTGTAGTGGACCTGGCCTTGGTGTGGAAGATCTTTCACATCAAAGTGTTATTATGTTACAGTATACATTATACATACATATTGCATATTATCATCCTAAAATTTATCTCTTCCCGAAGAAAGGTCCACCATCACTCCAAACAAGGCCTGCTTAACTGGGTGTGGTTCTGACCAGTCTAGATCAGACAACCTGCATTTTTCTACAATCAATCTCTAAAGCCTTTTTCAAGATTTTGTCCTGATTCCTTTTTTGTCCGGGAAAGAACGCGAAGCAGGTTTCTGACTATACCTTGATGCTCTCAATGGCGACAGTGAGCATCACTGGGGCAATGCTCTTCATCGACTTCGGTGGCCAGGAGAAAGGGCACAGCAGCCCCTGGCTCTTGATGGTCGCGGACGTCACAGTCTATTCTTGCATGTTCCAGCTCCTTGGAATCAGTCTAAACACGAGTTGTTTCACTCACACAGTAGAAATCCATTCGTGTCTAACAGAAGGAGAACAGTGAACTATTTTACTCTGCCAGAGAACCCAGACCAGTGAAGCATGTCATGCTGTGGATTGATGAAGCTGAAAAGAGCATCGTTTCATCCCTCTGAGGCTCACTGCCTTCATGGAAGGCATCGCAACAGAAGCAGCGGTGCCAGGAACTGCCTGCAGCCTTGAGCCCTTCAGAAGCATGCAGACCCTTTAGACTTGGTGAGGTATGCAAGACACGAGGTGGCTTGATGTAGCTTGCTTTGGGACATGATAGGCCACACCCCTCCCACGCATTCAATCCAAGTTTTTGCTGGTTGCTGACAAAGGCACTAATAAAGAGACACTTTGGGGATACTGGGGTGCTGATAGGGGTTTATGACCGTCCACAAGAGCATGGTTATATTATTATTGATTATATACATATTATTGGAATTAGTTTCGATCAATGTGCCCAATGTATTGAGTGAAACAACATGCTGAAATACAGCATGGAAGACATAACCAAGACTACCAGAAGTGACATGACAAAAGGACTACAAATACCTACAACCACAGAGAGGCAACTGCGGGAGCCGCAATAGGGAATATTGAAAGTAGTTGCTCGGTAGACAATACATTCACATCCTCATTGGATGATTTAAGCTTGGCCCTTGAATGTATATGTGTATGTATATATATATATATGATTTTTTTGGTGCTTGGTTGTGGGAGTATTCAAGAAGATTTCTTGGGTCTGAAGTGATATCGGAACTTCTTATTGGTCGTCGAGAGGCTCGCTGCCCATCTGAGGAACTACATCGTGGCGCGGAACTTGGCGATCCAAATCCCTCGGGCTCTAGGGCCTCCAGTGGCCCGTGGCCTCATCGATTTGTGCGGCAGGAGTGGTTCTAGACAATAAGAAAGGATGCTGGGTCTGTGTCGATTTGGTTGGCTGTTTTAAGTTTTGTTGCACTTGTTGAGAATTAAGGATTAAGACTGAGTAAGAGTTCGAGAATTGCCAGCGTGAATGGAGATGTCGTGGTTTTGACGAACTCTGTGTGCGAGTGTTCTGTGCTTGGCCCTTTGCAGGAATACCTATGCAGTGCTGCAACTTTGCTTGTCCTCGGTTGCCATCTCGGGAGTGTGGTACGCCGCCAACACGGCGCGGAGTGATGCAGTGGTGGGAAAGCAGCTTTGAGACTTTGAGAGAGCTTCATGCTTTGGAGAAGTTGCAGGGAAAGCCGCAGGAAGAACAAAACCAGAGTGAATTGACATGCCCAGCACCTGGCCTCGAGACATGTGTGTGTACACTGTACACCTCATAGACAAGGCCAGCTGACAGTTTGTTTCTGCTTCCCCACAACTGTGCTTGGCAGACGTCTCGTGTGTCTCGATTTTAACTATATAGTTGGCCGAAGGGGAGTGCAAAGGGAGACGCGTTGAACTTACTGGTAGAGGAGGGAGGAGGCCATCGCTACTAGGGTGGAGGCCATCGCTATTAGGTTCCTTTTGCGGTTATGTTTTGTTGCAAGTGGTGCCAGCGTCCAAGTAGAAAGCCAAGGACAAAGTTCTCACGACCTGAGGTTTTGGAGGGTATTTCAGCATCCACACGCTGGATTCAACATGTTACTGGAAAGAGAAACAGGGCGATGCATGCAAGGTCAAACTTCAGTCGTTTGCATCCTCCGGAAGGAGGCAAGGATGCCATAGTTCCATTGCACATGCCGTCTCGATTCCGTTTCAGATTAGAACACCTCCACCTCCATCGCCAGTAGGTTGGAGGCCATCGCTAGTAGGAAGGCCATCGCTTCATACCCTCATAAGATTTATAAGTCAAGCTACATACCCTACTAGGAGCAAAAAGCTACTAGGGGCTCCTGGCATCGCTACTAGGAACAAGGACGCTACTAGTAGCTCCTGGCCTTACTACTAGGAGCAAGAAGCTACTAGTAGCTAAGTCATACCCTCGCAGGTTCGCTTCAGGGGCCCATCGGACTGATGGAAGTTTTTCATGCGGACCGATGGAGCTTGGAGCTTTTCCCACAGCCATAGCTTTCTTGTTTTTCAAGCCCACCCGTCTCTCACAGGATGAGGTTTGTAAGGCTGCAGAAGAGCTGTTTTGATGGACTCCTTCGACTGCACTCCCCTCATTGCTTCATTGTCTGAGTCTCTGTAGCTGCAGCTGTCTGGAGCTCCCGAGAGCCACTTCATAAACCAATAGCTCGCTGACTGACTTCCAAAAAAGGAAGATGCACTGTTCAAGAGTCAGGCCATGTTTGGCTGATTCGTCAAGGATTTTGGAGGTCAGTTGGATGTCACGGATTTGGAGTCCGCAGAAGGCGAAGAACAACTCTCGTGTCTAGGAGGTCTTGGATCTTCTGACGAACCTCGTTGGGGTCTGGTCAACGTCAAGTGTTGCCATGCTCTTTTTGACCTCTTGACTGATTCGGTGTCGAGCTTGATGGCGAAGACATTTTTCCCATCCACTGCAAGCTAACAAGCCCTAAACTTAACTTGGAACTCCCTCTCAAGTGCCTCCAGTCTCCCGTGCTATGGTCAGCCCACCAGCATTGCAGGATGTTGAACAGACCTCCGTGGCAACAGCGATGGCAGTCTTGGCCAAGACAAGGTTCTTCAACATTTTATGATTTGCACTGCAGTACATAGCTGTTGGTTAGAGAAAGCTGTAGTACTGTAGTAAGCACTGGCACTCTTTCAACCCCCAATTGGGCCTCATGCTAGTGCAACAGACGCCCTCTGCATTGGATGAAGAAACCCTACGTGTAAACTTCATCTCACTCCATCTAAACCCTTCAATTTCGACCACAGGACGATGTTCGGCACTAGCAGCCGCGCTCTTCTGCAAGCTCGAAGGATCTTGAAACGCAAGCAGGCGAGTCGAGCAGAGTGGGGACGAGACCATGCAGGTTGGCTCAACATGCTTCGAACTCTTCGGAACAAGGGTACGACATTACTCCAGGCGTGCCTTCCAGGAATGTGAACCTCAGTGAGTCTGAAAAACTTTGCTTATGTCAATTGGGCGGCCAGTAAGCTTATATAAGTAAGTGGCTACTAGGAGAAGTAGTGAAGCCCTTGCATGATTGCCTTGGTTCCTAGATGTTTTGGGACACTAAAGTTCTATTCAGTTGAACGCTTTGTCACACTCAAGAGTCATGAGAGCCTTTCTTCATCCGTCATGACTTGGAGGTCTTCCTGTTTCTCCGCGACCTATATACCAGCATTGCCCAACGCTTTGCCCGGGCGGAAGGAAGGACGAGTCATGGGTATGTGGTCCCGGTTGATGTGAAGTTCTCAAGATGCGCTGTTGTGGGGTTCAGTTGATGCATGCCAGGCCTCAGCATCTAGAGGAGAATCCTACAATTGCAAAAACTTTGTCTGGCAGAGGTTTTTGCTCTTCTGCCTGATCGTCACAGAACATCGAGAGATCAATTTTCTTTTCTTCCTTTCACCCGCTCTCCTTTCTGTTTTCATCCATCGACTCCTCTGGCGATTGTGGACAGATTTCGGAGCTGACTCCGCTTGGTTTTGCTTTTTTCCTTTTCGGAAACCCATCGACCGCTTGTCACCGCTGAGGTGAGCGACCAGGACCAGCCAGAATGGCTCCGTGAAAGCCTCAGATGAGCATCTCATTCGGCTGCGACATTTGAAGGTTTCGAGGGTCCAACCGGTCTCAGAGCCTGAAAGGACACTTGAAGGTTGTGGCTTCGTTGCACGGCATTTTCACATAATGATATAATTTGAAGCAAACCTCGTCGCTGCGTTCATCTACAGAATATTATGTGTTCTCCACCTGTTGAAGGATAGTCAGCCGTGTGTTTAACTCGGATTTAGTTAATCTGACAGCAGATTAGTGCTTGGAAAGCTGGTGCCAGTGGAATACAACACTGGCTGCGCTGGTAATTACTCTTTATGTGGTGATTTGGATGAGATTCTCACCACGCTCGGCTCATGGTAACAATGTACCTGGGCTGAGGTGATGGGAGCCAAGCTGAGGAGCAAAGCGAGGAGGGGTCCAGCAACTTGGGCTGCGAGGAAGCCAGCAACGTCACAAGGTTTAAATATTAGTAAGGAGATACAATAGGCTTAGCAACATAAGAAACGATTGCAGTCATGAACCTGTGAACTTTAAGCGCAGCCCGCGATGCAACAGTGTGTACCGTGGAATGTCGCTCGATGCCCGTCGAGCACTTGTTGGTCTCAAAAGAAACTAGTTGCTTTGCATCCTAGGCAGCAGTGACGCTGAGGCGTGGTGGGCACCCTCATGTAGGAAGTGGTTGGCAGTACGTCCAAAGAACCCACACTGTTGTGCACAGAGCCACTACTTCATTGCTTCACTGGAGCTGAAAAGAAGCACATGTTCAGAATCTGGAGGGGCCATTTGTTCGTTGATAGAAACTCCGCGTAATAGCTATGTCACAGCTGCTACCTTTGTTGTTCTCTCAAGGAAGTCGATTTGGATGACGATGACGAGGACTTGATGATTCATGTCCGGGGTCTGCAGCCTGTCGGGCGGTAGACGTCGGTAGCCTTTTTCGAGCTTTGAAATTATGCCCTACATGGCCCCGATACTTGGCATTCCAGACATCTTCTTTTTGGTTGAAGCAGCATCACAGCATCAGGTCCAGATCCATATTCAGAAGTGCTAGTGCATGCTAATGCATCTTGCCATGGGTTTTTGCGGATCCTTCAGCAAACTTCAGTGAGGCACCCCGCGAAGTGCGTGAGCGTTTGGATGAGAGCAAGAAGCCGCAAGGGCTAACCATTATCAAGGCCTGAAAGCCTTGGGCAGAGTCTCAATCTCGGGAATCCCAAGTTTACGACCCGGAGTTGCTGGACTTTGGACAACTAATTTTGGATGTCACACATTTGAGGAGAATAATGGGATCTTCTCCTGTCATTTCCCTTCCAGCCGTGCTAAATTGGTTTTTGGTCTTGGAGCCTTGCGCAGTACTCCCTACTCCCTGCTGTGATGTGCAGGTGCTGGGTCACTTCTCGGAATATGTTCACTTCTCGCAGATGGCCTTGATGTGTATCCAGGTCCCGCTACTCAGGTTGCAGCTCCTACCGTGTGGGGGCGCTTTTCAACCCGGCCCTTGACTTGTAGATATCATAGCGATGGCCTCCACCTAGTGGCTTATTACCAGTAGTAATGGCCTCCAACCTAATAGTTATGGCCTCCACCTACTAGCTTCTTGCTACTAGTAGATTATCCCTTCCCTGTGCCTGGGATGCCTTACCTGGGAGAGCTTGTCTTTCCCTAAAGGTGTCTAGGCGTGCCTCGACTGACGTCTAAAGTCAACAAGATCCATTCTGGTAGTGATCAAAGGGGACAGATCACTACCAGATATTTGAGATATGCAAATCCAAAGGTCCTACAGTTCTCCGTGATAGGTCGTGTTGTCCAAAGCCCGCAAAGGCCGCCGTCTTGTGACAGCCAGGTTCTTGGAGTGATGTTGCGGACAGCTCGGGCGCCCGCACGCTCATAGGGCCTGATGTTCCTTGTCTTCTGATTCTAGTTACTAGAACACTTTATTGTTACTAGTAACTAGTAGCGATGGCCTCCAACCTAATGCGATGGCCTCCACCTAGTAGTTTCTAGTTACATTGTTTTTTTTTTCCAGATAGCTGCACACTATAGGGGTTCTTATTTTTCAATGACTGGGTGGCTCATCGGCAGCCTTGTCTCCCCACTTCTCTGGACTTTTTGTGAATGACACTATTTGATTTTTTGTCTCAGGTACTTCTGCTTTTAGAGTTAATTGCTATTTGGGGTCTATGCCGGTGTAATTGCTTTAAACGATCTTTAAACCGTTCAAGTTCTTACCTAGCTCTTATATATCTTCCTCATCCTCCTTCGCCTCCTTCATTTTCTTCCGGTTGTCGTTGCCGTTCAACCTGCGCACAGCGAAAACCAGCAGGGATTTAGGATGTGCTGTCATAAATTCATCATAGAATCCTTGGCCACGCTCTCGGATTCTGATTAGTAGCAACGGGCATGCAAGGACGCTACTAGTAGCTCCTGGCCTTACTACTAGGAGCAATGTTCGCTACTAGGGGCTCCTGGCATCGCTACTAGGAGCAAGGACGCTACAAGTAGCTCCTGGCATTGCTACTAGGGGCAAGGACGCTACAAGTAGCTCCTGGCATTGCTACTAGGAGCAAGAGGCTACTGGAGCCAAGGCCCTCCGGGTGAAGAGCAATGCCACCAGCATCACAATGCGCCCTGCGCAGGAATATCAGCAGGGACTCCAAGTTGTTGAAGACGGTCCACGCCCACGCGCGGGTAGTTGAGAAAACCTTGCTAGGACGCCATCTCACTTATAGCATTCGTGTACTCCAAGCATTTGTTTGGATCACAAGGAGACAATGCCTAGATGGTGGGTGACATCTACACTGCAAAGACCCCTAAATTGACTTTGCCATAGGCCTGCGAGGGCAACGACCATGTTTCCTCACTTTCTTAAAACTAAGCACTTTTGGAGATGCTGTGAGGTGTTGAGGTCCCAGTCAGAGGCTAGGTTGCCCTTTCTACATTATCTAGTTACTCCGCCGTCCGTAGTGGTTGGAAGTTGACCAAGAAAGACCCCAAGTGTCTCATCAGTGTTTTGGGGTCTATGCATGTTTATGCTACCTGTCCTGGATTACCATCCAATAGGAGTTTGAGGGAGTTGTCCCGAAAGTTCGGTGTTGCGAAGGCAGAATACAAACATCGAGCAGGCGCATGTTTCGTGGGGGGCTGGGCGGGCACGTAAGGAATGCAGTCGCACATCAAGATGTTCCTTCGTACCAGCTTGGTAACCTTTCAAGACCATGTGGGTTCTGTTCTCAATGGCCCTCTAACTTTCATGCGCTCCTCCTTGCTAGGGGCCAAACTGTGCCGTAGCTACCGGCTTCGGTAGGACCCGGAAATTCTAAAGGCCACAGCACTCCAGGAGACTCAATGCATCTCGACCCACAGGGCAACATTCGAAACACCCAGGGCCCAGTGGGCAGCAAAGTCACTGGGCCGGGCAAAGGGTGGTCGATCGAGTCAAGGCGATGCTCACTCATGGCTTCATCCCGGCTGCCTTGAGGGCTTTGTACCGCTCGGGCCCCGTCGAGCGCCAATCAGGGTGCCTCAGGTTAGTACGACCCGATCAGGGGCACCTTGGTCCCTTCTTTATCCTTCTGGATCTTTGCCTTGCCTCCTTCCAGCTATGGAGAATTGGAGAATGGGAGGGACGCACAGCTCACAGGTGTGTGAATGCGCCTTCCTCGAGCTGTGAGGCCACCCAACGGATCCGGCCATTTGTCGAGAAACCTTGCTACTCTTGGCATACTTGGCCCGGGAGACCTGGCAGTGTGAAGTTGTGTTTATTTGAACGCACCATTTTCAGATACAGTTTTGACAAAGAAGCTTTCAGAAATGACCCAAACCATCCCAAACCGCTTTATGGGACAAATCCAGACAGATCAGATGGTCCTGAATGAACAGAATCCAGAGATTGGAAATCAGATGCCTGTGATCCAACACAGAGTCCCTGTGTTTTCCCATTGAGTTTTGGTCCACAACAGCAAGGCCAATGAAGAAGCGGAGCACAACGAGCATGTCCAGGAGCGGTGGACATTTGAAGACGTGGCCCCACTCGTAAGATCAATGGGGGTTGGTCTTTCCAGATTCTCTGTTCAACCACGTTCAACTCTCCCCACTTGCTACAACACCACCCACCTCATCATACCTCATCAACTGGTGTGGGACCTCACTACCCAAGCTTCTGTTCCACCGGACCTAAGACGCTAAGCTGCACCAACGGCGCATAGGCCAAGCTGCAGTTGTTGGAGCCACCGGAGCGGCCCTTCACGCCTGGGGGCCCAGGCGATGTGAACGGTGAAGCGCCCAGGCGATCTCGACAGGTGTCCAGTACTAGGAGCGCTTCTGGCTACTAGTAACGATGCCAGGAGCCCCTAGTAGCTTCTTGTTCCTAATGGCTTCTTAGCTACTAGTAGTAATGCCAGGAGCTACTATTAGCGATGCCCTTGTTACAAGCTTCTTGCTACTTACATCATGCAACACGATATTGGTTTGGTTTGTTGGGTCTCATGTTTCATCAGGTTTCATTGTAAGTCACTGTAAGCTTTCAAAGAACTGAGAAAAGAGGCCCAGAATTCTGAGCCACACATTCCCACGCACCGTTCATGCAAACATTTTCTGCTTTGATTGCGGGTCTCCAAGGCTTCTGCTGACCATATCGAAACTGAACAGCTTGGAAGATCGGAGCAACTTGCTATTGTGCCTCCAGGCGCTAGATGAACCTGTTGGCTGAGAGGCGGTAGCTTAGACTTTTGAGATCAGACTTCCTACAAGTCATGGGTTTGAGCCACCTACAGCCTTAGATGACGCGGACAAGGAGGTGCTGCCCTGTCTTTCAGGTGTATGTCACCATCTCGACCTTTCCGGCAGTGGCCCCAAAGCAGTGGAGTGCTTCTTAGATGTGCTACTCATTTCAAAGGCCTTTCCTGCGCTGTCGGCATTTTAAAGAGAAGCACCTTGAGCGAGCAGACAGCTTGGACACCGGGAATTGCATTTGTTGTTGCATACAAGCGCATCTACGCTAAGCACTGGGGACTCTTGTTCATTGCGTCGCCATCACGCTGAGCCTTCTTGATTTTGAGGTACCTGTGCCTTCAAGTGAAACAAAAGAGGCAGGACTGGCAGGGCAGGGGCGGCAGATGTCAGCAGACATGTGGTAAGAGATCTCGAGCACAGAGCTTGCGAAGAGGGCTCCTCAAGAATCGGTCATTCCAATGAGCAAACAAGATTGGAGCGCCCTAATGGCTTAGCAAGTTTCAGCCCGCAAAGCTCCAAAGCTCAAATGGTTTGCTGCCCACTTGGCTTGAGTTCTTTGGTCCCAAAACAGCTGCCTATCATTTCACTTGTACTTATTAACATGTATACAGTATATTACGAAAGCCAGCCGATAGGTGGGGGTCTTTTCGGGAGGGTGAACCCAGAGCGTGGGGGAGAGTGAAAAAAGCTGTGGGCAAAATGTAGTCAACAATGTGTGTTTGTAAGGGCGTTGGTAATGCAATAAATGTTGAAATTGCATCATTAGCATCACAAAGTGGCCAGGATGCCAGGATACCATTTTTAAGTGAACAGCAGCCTGTCGCTCATTATGGCTATGGATCTACCTAAGTCTCCCCAAGTAGCTGTAAAGAAATTACGTTGAAAGACTATGCTGGCGGCCTGTTTGAAGGGCATGTGTTGCTGTGTGCCGGCTTTGGGAGGACAAAAAGGGCACCAGCAAAGGACTGCTATCTTCTGGGATCTAGCTAGGCCCCCCCAAGTAGCTGTAAAGAAAGTACGTTGAGAGACTCTGTTTGCGGTCTGTTCTTTTTGAAGAGCATTTCTGGTCCAGTGGTGGTGCCCTTTTTGATCGTTTTGTCACGGGCTCGGGGAAGACAAAGGGCACCAGCAAAAGAGTGCTATCTTCTGGGATCTAGCTAGGTCCCTGCAAGCGGCTGTAAAGAAAATGCGTTGAAAGACTATGTATATGTGTAGATGTGCGTAAACTATAGTATAAACGCCCGACTTCCCGTCCAAAGTATAGCCACCTTCGTCACTCCTCCCAAACCCCAGAGTGATGTGGATGTGGAGGTGCCGGCTCGTCCCAAACGCGCGGCCTCGCGGCGAAACTCTCGGCGGAAGAGCTCCAAAGTGCCAAAAGAGGCGCACTTCAACAGGGAATGGAGTATGTATACAGAGATACATATACTGTATATATATATATATGTATAAGATAGTTGACGTACTTGGATGACACGTATATACACACATCATTACACGCAGGAATTGTATGTTAATTGAATATAGTGGTTCCAGGGCACAACTTCTTAGGCGGCGAAACGTACTGTAGGAACATTGAATCTCAGCATTTCAGACTTTGAACATCTCTGAAAGTGACGAAAACCAAAGACATGTTTGTCAGCTTGGATTGGAGTTCGATAGACACTCTGTAAGTAGATCGGTAGATCCTCTAGATGTTTTGACCTAACAACTGACGCACGGAAACGAAGCAGATGATGCAAAGTGCCAGGTACGGGTGGGAGCTCGTCTTGAGCCATCGTACACCTGGCAATTTTTAACGGCTGATTCCTTCCTGGGACGCTTCAAGTGCTGAGTGCTGAGATGTTGTTTCTGTATATTCGGTATGCCATCGACATGCCATCGACAGGAAATCTCTAATGCAGAGAGAGGACTTGTGATGTTCTGGATGGAGCTTTCGGATGAAAGCACCGTAAGAATTGTGGACGAACTGCTATGTATATAATTACTGTAATGGTCTCGCGGCATGGCAGGCGGGAACCTGAAGCGGTTGGTAGCCCTGGCAGACTATTTGCCTATGAAAAATTGAATCAAAACAGACCCTATCCCGAACCCTGGACAGACTCAAAAAACACTTCTCGGACATTCTTCTTTCTTTGTCCTTAGTCCTAAAAATCTAGGAACCAAATGAATAGTGCGAGCGCTTCTTCAAGGAACTTCTCCCCCGCAGCGCTGGAGCTTCCTTGAAGAAGCGTGAGCTATTTTGCGTCCAGTAGGCAGTATATAATTAATAATTAGTGACTAGCCCTTATTGAATCAAGTAGGCGCTTACTTAATTAAGTAAGGGCGGGCTAAAAAAGGACACTCCGTCGCTAGTTGTTCCTTTGACTTCGGTGACGAGGCCCATATCCTGGTGGCCGTGCTCACCTCGCAGTGGAGGGATCAGGCCTCTTTTTCAGTGGGGTTTAGGGCACTGCCATGCCATTTGGTTGTGCTTACAAGTGCTTTTTGGAGTGTTTAAACTATTCTTAACATGGTAATTATGCTGTATGAAGCTGCGTTTTTTTTTTAAACTTCGAGCGTCCATGGGTTCTGATCCGATAGCCGTCCAAGCAAAGCCACAGGCTGTCTTCTCGCTGGTCCATCGCATCATTCTCATCTCCTGCATTGGGCTTGGGCGAAGCATCCTCTTTCCAGACACTCTCTCTCTCTCTTCCTTGTCTCTCCCAGACGGGGTTGGTTCACTTGTTGGAGCTTGAACAGCAGCAAAGTTATATAAGCGTACCTAGCTGCCCTTCAACAGAAAGGTTGGGTGACTGATCTGAGGTGAACAGCAGCAGATGTGCCGCTGCTTGTTTGTCGGACTACCTGGACATGATCCATTGTATGGGAGCATAAAATCTTCGTTCACACTGTTTGGTCCTTTTTTTTTCAAAGGCCACAGCAGCGGCTAGAGGATATGGGCACAAGTTATACATGTTTGCACGCAGAGACTTGTCATTTTCTGTCATTCCAGGCTCACGAGGCTCTTTCGACAAATAGCTAGTGCGATGCTCCAAATGAATGCAACATGATAAGCAGTTAGAGGGGAAGGCGCATATAGACATCCGGATACCGAAACAATCCCAAACACAGATACTGTCGTCCATGTACTCTGTATGGTTGCTGGAATCTCAAGCATCCACGTGAGAAAAAGATATATCTTCGCAGGTTGGAGGCATTTTCCATTAGGTTGGAGGCCACTTCTATTAGCTTGGAGGCCATTTCTACTCTATTTTCTCGTTTCTCTTTTTTCTCTCATTGGTTTGGCGGGTGGTCCCGAGGAAGCTGGTCTCACCTCTGCCCTCCGGAGCTTCCTCCGGAAGATCCGGCGAGGCGAGGTCAAGCCGCCCCTGGTGCACCCGGAAGGGCGGCCCTTGGCACCCGCAAACTCTTGTAAATGATGTATATATATATAGACATATATAGGTTATTTATGGTCATTCGTTACAACATTTGGTACAGTGTCAATGATGTATCTGGCAAGAAAAGCATGGCAGCATGGCTGTTTTGTTTCTTCAAAGACCACAGAATGGCTTCTTCTGAGTATGCAGACTCCCACTTGCTTGAGGGATCCTCAGACCTGAGATGGGTGGAGATCATGGCAAGTGATGAAAATCATACCGTGAGACCAAGAAAACCACGACAAGTATGAGATGAGTGAATTAATTATCCAAGACCCAAAAGGTCCACTGGAAAGCTCGCAGTCTGCGGCGCAGGTGAAGTAGCCCAGTTCTGGTTTGAGGACACAGTCATGAAGTTTACCCGGCGTTGATTTGATTTGCTGTTCATTGGAATGCAGCAAGAAGTTGTCAACTGCAAATGAAAACATCGACGCTTGCTGAATTCATTTCGACGCGATTCGACATTTGCCATCGACCCTGCACAGACCAATTCATCATAAATTGTACTGCAGGAAACGGCATAGTCCTTGAACTTGCATGCAGGATAAGAAAGAGAGAGCTGGCTTGAAAGCACGCAAGCTGTGCCCTCAGTGCGAGCCCTCCGGGTCTTTGATGGAATTACGTACTGTACACAGAAGGCATTTCTTACTTCTTCAAACTGTCAGTTGCCTTCTGGTTCTTGTGGCCTAGCCTGAGCATTAGCAACATGGACATCAAAAGACAAATCTACAAGGTGCATTTTTCTGTCTCTGGCTTGCTGACTGCAGCGGGCTCGTAGACAAAGGAGGGAATTTGCCAGACTTCTTGATTCCTTGCTGACTGGGCATGTTTTGACATTCTATATTATATACATTATCTTGCCCGAAAAGCAACCGGGTGATAGGTGTTGCCACCTCTTGTGCCATGTGAGTGAGGGAAGGAGGAGTTCCTTTACTTCTTCATGCCTCAGCCACGTGTGAGACGGCGTTGGCTTAAAACATGTTCTGATGATTTCAAACCTTGAAAGTAGACAAGGCTCGTGAGACCCACTTTGCAAGCCGAGGGCCTCAGGAGCCCCGCCGAGGTCGTTGAAGAAGGCCAAGGAGGTGGTGATGGCTCGCATGCGAGCACGAGCTCCCGGTTCAAGTGGTATTATTGCCCTACATGGTAACTCGACCACACATGTTGCCACATAATCGTAATCATATGTGATCGTCTTCAGCACACCGAAAGCGTCACTCTGATCGTTAGCATCTTGTGTTCTGTTGAACTCAATTGGGTCTTTGTAAGATTTCATAAGCCTTGCATAGAAATAGATGTAACTGCACAGTCCTCCAGAAGGAAATGACGAAAGAGCTCACCGTGGCAGAAATTCATTTCATTCATCAAGAGTTCATCCCATTGTTTTGCTATTCCGGCCAACACATTTTTTTGCACCCATTTTCTCATACAGGGTCGCCCTCGCAGACAGGGCCGCCGCCCTCGCGATCCACGAGCGAATCCGCCTTCCCCAGGTGGATGAGGCGATTCGTGGGGCCCAAGAGAGCAGCTTGGCGGAACCTCCGACGACGTCGAGCCGTTTTCGCGCAGGAATGGACGGGATCTCAGAAAAGACTTCCGGAGCAACTGAGTGTAACCGCAACGTTTTCCGGGGACATCCGGATGTTGCTCGATATGAGCTCTCCAGTGGTGCTTGCTGCACTGTCACACCTTTGTTGGGGAGATTGGGGCATGATGGACTGATGGGGTGCCAACAGATGAAGTGACTGCAAGTTGTATGAGAGGGGCAATGACCCTCATCAAAAGGGCCATGGTGTGCATTAGCATCAATCCCTTGGCCCTTGGCCAGGAATGTTGCAATGAAAGAGACAAACAACAAATTCCAGAGTGTAAGCCAAGGAAGTGGTTCAATCCATGCAGTTTCTGATTTTGTTGTGCTCCTCTGTGGCTCTCTGCAGAGTTTGTTTGATGGGATTCCAGGCCTCTTGGTCACTTTTAAGGATTAGAGCCTGATGCTCGTTGAGCAAACTGAAGAGCAAAGAGACGAAGATGGCTGAGGAACACTTTGTCTGGAGACCAACCTCTTTAACTAAAAAGAAACATGTCAGTGAGGAACCTCAGGAACTTTCACAGTTAGTTTTTGCTATTTTAATAATTGTGTGGATCCAGCGCCGCATACCCGATCACTCAGATTCCTGGCATATGCTTCGGATCCTGGCTGTGAATGCTGGCGGAGGCAATTGAGGGTGGGCGTCTGACACTTTGAGATAGCCATGCAGCATCACGCAGCTGGCAGCTAACACAGCTTCGTCAATCTTTGGTTTTGCTGCCGTTGTCGCCCTTGGAGAGCGGCGCAGGCCCTGAGCAGGCCGAGAAGGTCGGCATGGTTGTCATCCCCGCAAGAGCCCGCACGCATCAGCGAAGCCGAGTCACAAGAGTCAACTCTGACCAGTGCTGGTGCAGATTAAGCGATGTAGATGCAGATTGATCTTACAACTACAGTACAATTACAATCATTGAGATGATTCGACATGATTCGACCACACACCTCTCTTTACCGGAATCAGGAAATCCAATCGTTTCTGCTTGAAAGAGAGAAAGAATACCTGCGCGGAGCTGGAGTTAGGTTCCACCACGGCACTTCACAAAGTCCTTATCCTGCAGGCACATGAGGATTACAAGCCAGACACTTGGAAGTCAATCGCCCAGGCCAGCTTTGAGCGTCCTGACAGCGCTGTTTTCTGGAATCCCAATCGGTGCTGACAACTAGCCAGGTTAGTTGGTAGCTGGCATCACAAAAAGGTCGTGGCACTATGATGAGCAAACATCACAGATATTTGCAAGTGGCAATGGTAGCAGTTTCAAAGACGCCTGTTGTACTAGGTTACTAGATAGACATGCAGATGGATCAGATGGCTTTTACAAATAGAAGGACAGATGAACACCGCTTGGAAGGACGAGCGACTCCACACGCACAGTGACTCCACGCTTTCAATTCTATTTCGGTTTGAAACCTAGACGAAGGTCGTGGACCCTGGTCGTTGCTCGAAGGCTCTGGACGAGATGCGGCAGGTGGACCATGGGCCCCAGTGGCCCTTGGCAGTGAAGTTTCTCGAGGAGAAGAGACGCAAACACGCGGGGTGAGGAGAATGGATGAGAATGTAAATGGATGTATATGGTGTTGGTGATCAGGACGTCATGTCCAAAGTTTGGAGTTGAATCTCCCCACTCCAAATTCAACACGTTTGCGCTTTTCGGCATTTCCTAAGGTCTCTGTTGGCCGACTCCAATCCCACATGCGCAAAAGGTCTCAACACCATGGTTGAGACATGTTGACCTTTTGTGGTGAAGGCATTGTTGCTCTACGACTTTCCGGCCCATGGAGAGTTCTTCCAAGCACAGGTGCGGGGCACATCATCGGCTAGCTGTTAAGGTGATTTGCTGCTCACATTTTTCCACATTGCCTTCAAAAAGACCGCACGTTTGATCTCAAAAACATGAAGAGGCAGCTTGACGCTGCCAACTGTATCGACCACCACTACTAAAGCCCATGACATGCTTTTTTTTGGGGTAATTAGATCAGATTCCGTCACCGCTGTTGCACTCTCGTGTGCTTTTGACACCCTCGCAACCCTTCGTTCAATCCTTGCTAGGATGGTCTTACCCTCGCCTTGGCAGAGCTCCCGAATGGCCAGGCAAAGTCGATACTAGGAAAGTCGCTTTGGGTAGTGCTCACTGGCAGCCTTAGGCAGATGGTGACCTGGATCCTTGGTGGACCTGGTAGACAAAGAACACTGTGAGGAAGTTGGGAGAGATCGAGACCGTTTTTTTTTTGCACCACGGGGTGCTGCATCTCACGACTGGACATCTCTGGACGCTTGGAGAGCGGAGCCTTCTCCACGTTGCCACGTACTCTGGTCAGACATCATCGCCCGCAAAGCCGTTTTCTTGACACGACAGTCACGGAGTTGATCTCGCTTTGGAAAGACGAGCAAGTTGGCAACATGGAGGGTGAACAGGTGAACACAGATCATCACAGATCCACTTCACCTCTCGGCATCTTAAACATGACAAACACTGCGATAGCCAAGGGGCCACAGATGGCCGCAGATGGCCGGTGGACATGGGTGGAAGCTGTTTATCCGCTCCCAGGTGGCCGATGTGTATCCGCTCTTTGTGGCGGTACTGAGACTTCACTTGAGGAGACCAGGGAGGGGATGGGCTGGACAGCCCGCATGATCCCACCGGCATGTTCGCAGGTTTAGTTTCATATATGTTTCTCTGGAGGGTTTTCAACAAGCTTTCTGAGTCTCAACGACAACGCGAACAGCTTCTTGATGATGCGATGATTCGTCAAAGCCATGGGATTTGGTTGCACAGTGTTCTCAGGAGCATTCCATGTTCTCCTCAGTATTGTCCGGTGGCAGAGGAGCGCCAGGCTGGAAGACGATCGCCAACGGATCTCGAGACTAATTGGTCGGTCTTAAAGTCCCTGTAGGATTCGGGTTCTTGCAAGGGACAAAAGGGCAAAAGGGCCACCTGTACATGGTAGGATTCCGAAGATGAACAGGGCCATGGCGGCCATTGGACTTGGTGCTTCCTTGCAGTTGCAGGTCCAGCTGCGCAGGGGCGACACCTTTCCTCGGCCTCTGCTGACGCCCCAAGAGATTTTGGGAGTGAAGTGACAGAATCAGCTGGAAAAGGACTAATAGGCAAAGGGCCGCAGGGCCTTCCAAAGGTGCGCACGGCTTGCGAAGCCGTTGCTCAGTGCATAGAAGCAGAGGGCTACGGGTGTGTTGATTTGACAAGTTTCCGAAGGCCTTTTCTCAAAGAAAATCAATGGCGCATCCTCACGTTGGTTGATGCCCGTTTCATCTTCCAACATTTTTCTGAGTCTTGGAATCTTAGGGCATTGGAGGCCAAACCGCTGACTTCTACCAGGAGTGACTGGAAACTGTCATGTTGGCTTGCAGTGTCTCTGTTTTCTCTTCAACAACCTTTTGGCAATTCTGAATAGATAGGTTTCTGGCTGTTTGCCTTCCAGCCACCTTGGTGAAACCAAGTTGCCTTCCCGGCTCCCACTGTCCTATGCCCTCGCACTGACCAGGACAAAGCGTCAGGGGACACTTCCCGATCTTCCGCGGCGCACTCAGTTGGTGGTTTGGGCCACGGTGCATGTAGCTAGCCTAGCTCGCGCCTTCGTGGCTGTCCAGGTCGTTTTTTCTCAAGACCCCAAAGTGGCTAGAAAAATGATAGAAAAGGGAATCCCCTCTAACATCTCTCGAAACCCTTTCTATTTGGTTGTGGAGGACCATATTTGACTCCGCGTTCCATACGAGTAATATCCTCCAAGCATTTTCCATTCATATTCGCACTTGAGCAGAACTTCTGGTTGCTGGATAGACCAGCATATGCTTTGACTGGGCGCCGGGCACTCTAGAGGTCGACTTGCCTAGTTCACAGTACACCTGCAGGGGTTTGTGTAGGGAAGTATAGAATGAGGATTTACTTTTCTGGACCAATCGAATACCAAACTGCACAGTGTTGCCCTTTTGGGCCCTGATTTGCACAGGCTCGAAGGAGCACGCGCCCGAGTTTCCAGCCGAATGGGCTTATTTGTTGGTTCTTGATTCTTCTTTTGGCAAGACGAGGGAAAGAGTTGCATAATATGATATGTCATCTATCCAAGACAGAGACACTTTTGGAGTTCAGAGATTGAATCCACTCGGAGGATTCAGCCTGGATTAGTTGTTTTAGCAGAAGTGGCCCGAAGAAGGCGTTGCCAGCCACCTGAGACCGAGGAGTTCCTGACCTGCGGTCAACGGCTGACCAACGAAGCGAAGGCCAGCCTGCATCATGAATGGCAAGCCCTATGGAGCCCAGGGTATACCAGGGTGAGCAAGGGACTTGTTGGAGTGACATGTCTGGATATGCCGGTATGGTTGGCCAGGAATTTGTGGGAGGATGCCGCACAGTAAGCGCATGTAGAGTTCTTTCCAGCAAAAGCAAACCATACTAGGGGCTCCTGGCATCGCTACTAGGAGCAAGGACGCTACTAGGGGCTCCTGGCATCGATTTCTTGGAGTGGCTGAACTGGTTGAGCCCTTGCTTTGGGCCGCTGTTGGCCATTGGGAGGCCTTCTTGGCCGAGCAAGGTGCAGTTCCAGTCTTGCTTGAGTCAGGAGCCAAGGGTGGGCCTTGGATTGTGAAGACCAACGAAGATCCTCCAAGCCTTTTTGGGCGTGGGAACTGTGCCCTTGGTTTCTCTGCTCATGAGTATTTTTCGATGGGTGGGTTTGGAACAAAAGGCACTGAGAGTCCCTGAACCATCATGATCTAGTTGGAAGCGATGAGAGTGATGTGGAAGATTTTAAGGATCCTGGACTGGGGAGCAAAGGAGTAGTAGTCAATCACGCACGCCTCAGTCAAAAGTTTCTCATGCCTTTCCTCTGCACAGTGCAGACAACGTGATCAACGATGTCTCAAAGCTGGCCGACCTTCCTCGTCCACAGAACCGACGGGAGCAGCTTTTTATGTAAGGAAGGCGGCAATGCCTGATGCCTCAAACATCCAAACATCATTCCATTCTTTCGAGACCGGCTAGCGGTCATTCCGCACCCAACTTCACGTGGCTCCCGCTCTAGATCCGCTGGAGTTGAGTAGACCAAGCACGGGAGGCCCGTTCTCAGGTCTTTGCTGGATGCGGAAAGTGCCGAGTTGGAGGAGCCTGGCTGTCGGAGCGGAGGGTTATCATGGATGAGCAAGTAGGACATGCAGGAACAGATCGAGCAACTCCTTTTTTCTAGTCTCAAAATTTGCTTGCATGCTAGCTCTTCCACCACAGGTGCCATTCCCTTTCGCTTCCAATTACTGAGACCGCCGAAAAACCGCTCAAAGCGATTCCAACCTTTTCCAGGTCCTAGGTTGCATCATTGGCATATCATAACATCATGCTACGAAAATCTGTTCTGCGTTGTGTAAACTGTCAGGATGGATTGCTTCGGCTCCTCTCGGAATTGCTGCAGGCTGGAATTCCACCGCATTCCATTTCGTTTTTGCTTGTCTGGAAAATTCTTGACTGCAAGTCCAACATGGACATGCGGTCATATTTATTCTTTGCATTTCTTGGTTTATTGTATTTCTGCAAAGGATCTTCACTCAGAGTCTAGATACCGACCAATTCCGAGCCAAGGACGTCGCCTTGGGGGCCGAGAAGGCATCAGAGGAGTTCATGAACTTTGGCCGGTGACCTCGACGAGTTCGACGGACGAGAGGGAAAGAGAAAATGCCTTTGGATATCCCATCATCTGATCGTCGTGATCATCATGTGGCTCGACATCTCATCGGATATTGGACGTCGGTCCTATCGATCCAAGTCCTTTGTGGTAAAGGACGCTATTAGAGCTATTAGATGCCTTTAGAAACAAAAGAAAGACGCTTCTTGTTACTAGTAGCGATGGCCTCCAACCTAGTAGCAATGGCCTCCACGTAATAGCGTCCTTGCGTTCCTAAGGCCTGGCCGACCAGGGCGGCTCTGAAGTCGTATTGCAGTTGATGCCGGGTGCCCAGAGGTGAAGGAGCAGGCTACGCATGGCTACGTGGCTACACATCGACTCCAGTGCCTGAGGTTCCGTCGAAGCTTTGAGGTTCCCGGTGCTACAGAATTTCCCGAACCAACTTTCAAGATTTCGACGACCGAAGGGAGTTTGTGTTGGTACAGTATCTCATGGAACATTCGGACCTCTATTAGAGGGTGTGAGTCAGTATTTCTTTTGCATGCTGAGGAAAGGCAACTTGAAGAACAGAACGCGTGTGGAAGCAGTGCCTCGAAGGACAATGCTGCAGTGCCCGGACCGTGCAAGGCTTTGGTTAACCCTGCAAGTCTATGCGCAAACCGTCCTGGAGATTCCAAACGATCCAAGCTTGAAAAGAAGACATCCTGAGGACATCCTGTTTATCAAACATGTGAGTGGTAGGGGGCTGCTGAATTTGACTGAGCTTGTTAGAATACAATGGGAGCATTCAATTTGATCCATCATCAAGAGGGTTCATGCTGCATGGTGCTTTTAAACTCCAGTGACGCGGACTCTGTGTACATCTACGGTTTGTGTGAAACTGAGGCGCTCTTTGCACTGGCCGGAGCGATCACGCATAGTCCAGGCCTGCAGTACCGCAGGGCTGGCCGTGTTGGAAGAGAGGGCCTTCAGGTTTAGTTTGCGTAGTTTGATTTGCAATGATTTGCACATTGGCCAAAGAGACACGACTCGAAACTGTTTGGTCTGACATCTTGCCATGACAGTAGCTTTGCGAGTGTTTGAGAGTCAAAACATCAAGGTGGTACTGAGACAAGGACAGGGCACTGCAGAACTTTGTTCATCCAAAATTGCGCGAAGCTTATCTGGCCCAGACAAGTTCTACGAACAAAGTATGTTGATGCCACCGCACCAGATGGCTCCGCAATGCCCTGGAGTGTTTGTTCCGGCCCAGTCGGCTCAGCGTTTTGTGCAGACCGGGGCACCACTGTCATACGTGGCAGCAATGAGGATGACTCCAGGCCCATGGCAGAGCAGTGGTGGGTTGCAGCAGGTGAGGGTGGTTGCGAAGCCCCAGCCAGTGGTTCAGGTGCATTTGAACGCGTCCTATGCGACATGCCCTGTGCCCCGATTTCATGGATTTGCACAGACTACCATGGTCAATGTGGCACCCATGGCGACCGCGCGGAAGCCTGGTGTTGAGGTTCTGGAGCCTTGTGACTTTGCTGCAGCCAAACTGGCGGAAGGCTTGGTGGACCTTCATTTGAAGCCGGTTGAGCATGCTTGAGCTAGGATAACACGTCCGTATAAACATTTTGAACGTCATGAAGGCAGCTCTGGACATTTTAGATACTGTATTTTCGGCCTAAGATGTCTAAGGTGAGGTTGCAAAGCTTCTTCAAGCTGGCAGATGTCTACTAGTGGATCTTCGTGATGGTGACCGCAATGTGGGAACCATCAATGGCACCATCAATGTCCCAGCCATCAAGCGCACAAATGGCACAGTCACTTTGCCATTCTTTACAGAGCGCCTCGGGCCTTGAGATTGAGCGACAGTTTGTTTTACAGAAAGCCACAACATAGAGCTGTACAGTTGGGCTTTCGACATGTACTTGAGAATGCTTCAGTGGATTTTCCTGCCCAGGCGATGTGTTGTTTCTTGCTTGAAATAGGGTTTCTTTTTCACTGGTCACTGGCCGGACTGAAATGTCAAAGCAAGGATGCAGAAGTATGCCAACCAATGGGCCAAATACCCATTGGTGGTGCTGTTCTGCCAGCATTCAGCTGACAGAGCTCCACAGCATGCCGGCTGGTTCAAGAACCATGCGCGGCAGGGGCAAAGAGTCGCGATTATGCGCGGAGGATTCCGCGGGTGGCAAGCCGCACGGCTGCCCATCGCGTAGAGGCTCTCCATAGAGCCCAAAGTGCCCAATGATTCAAACCCCCAGCCAGCAAGCACTCACAGGCAAGATGGCGATCCTCCATCGTGACTTGACGGTATTCGTATGGCTGATCCTTTCTGCGCCCTTTGTGGTGATGGTTGGAGAAGCAGCAGCCATTGACAGCTGCGGGGCACGGTGCAGCTTGGCAGGTTCAATGAATGGAGAAGCGTTGTCTGCGTAGTGTTCAACAGATCCGCGTGCCCCCCGTTGTGCCCTAGCACAGCTTCTGCCACTCCGAAGTGACACGGCTGGGCTAATGGGCTGGCATCACAGGCCACTTTGGGTGCGCCGGAGACGCTCGCAGACCTCGCGAAAAGGTATCGAAGGGAAGCGCTGTGCATATCATGATCCTTCATCTATATATATGTATATGTATGTTCTGTGTATATTTTAAAAAATATACTATAACACCATATAATACCCTCCAATCCACATCGATGAACTATAGCACATCATTTCTTGGGCTGACCATCATGCTGCCGATCAGATGATGTTTTTGCAACTACGTTGCTTTCAGAAAACCTGTTGGTTCAATTCAATACACATATGGGAGTTGGTCCAAAGGGTGTGTACGAGCCTTTAGATGCTGTCCAAACCATCCGCGAAAGATTCGCGATGAGGTTTGCGAAAGTATCATTCTCACGAAATATTTGTATAATGTATATATGTATAAAAAATATATATATATATATACACATGTACAGTATGTATCAAAGGTCTTTGTTTTCATACTATTTCCTTTCTACTGGGCAGAAGTCCCCACATGTCCCCACTGTCGCAGACCTGACCTCGCAGTGCGCAAAGGATTCCCCGATTCCTGTCCCCAGGGCACAGACTAACAACCTGACAACTCAACTTGTCCTTGCACAGCCCTGACCGTGCGGACAATCCCCCAAATTGGCTGACAAACTGCAACTGCATCACCCTTGTTGATATACAATTATAGTTCCAACATATGTTAACTAGACATGGTTTCAGGACCATGCTTCCGGATGAGGCCGTGAAAGATGGCCACTCCATCATGAATGATTTTTGATCAACCACCATCCACTATATATATATATTTATTTATTAAACACACACACACACACACCAGTTCTTTACTACTACCGTGATGGTTATTACATGTTATTACTGTTATTGTCACCATTATTACTATAGCAATTGAACAAATATATACACAAAGAAGCGACAAGCGGCCATTGCAATTTGATTCCATTACATGCATACCAAAGATATCATTTTAAGTTCAGCGTCACCTTATCCAGCCTTTCTGCTGCACTCCTCAATGCACGGTCTCCAGACTGCGCGACGAAGATGGCCTCAGAGATGGGTGCCAAGGTCTTGATCCAATCGGCGGGGATGCTCAGGTTGGTGGAATTCCCGCGACCAACTGCTTCAGGAGCCCCGTCAAAATCCATGGAACACTTAAAATACAACATCGTCATCCCTTTTGATTTGAAGATGTTTGAAGGAGCACTAGTTTCGCATGATGGTCCACCAGAAACCTCCAAGAACGAAGACTCAATCACCCCGAGCTGCTCGAACCCCGCAAAAACTCGAACGGCTGAGGTCTGGAGGTATTGGGAGGAAGTGGACTTCCGCCGGCGCAGTTTGATGTTGCTGAGGCCTGACAGGGCTGCCGCCTACTGGGCGGCCCAGTTGAGCTATATGTTGCTATCAACTTTCCAGCAGGGTATCAAAACCAGATACTCAGAACCATTGTCGTAGACTTTTCTGTTCTCTTGGGAGGTTTATTTACCATAGTTTGCTCGCGGTAGGGTTTTCACTCCGCTGTGCCGGAAGGTTGTGTGCTTTGCGGGTCTGATTGAGGCAGATCCGGGATGCCAACCACGAGCTCACAGGCTTCATGCTGATGCACTGGAAGGCTGCTGCAGCTGGTGATGGATGCTTGTTCAGGTGACAAATGGTACGTAGCAGAAGCCTTGATAGCAATGCGTCCTGGTCAGCTGCGGGGTAGGTTGCGGCCTTTCAAGAAAGAGGCTGAGAGATCATCAACAGATATGACTCTGATATGACGGCTGATTTGAAGTTGCTTGGTTTATCTGGACTCGCAAACAGTGATATTGGGAAGCAAAGACGTGTCCACACCCTTGGAGACCGTATAGGAGCGGTGGTGTTGGACCAGATTGCTTCATGAGTGGCATTCCGGTGGCATCGCAACCCAGGAGACCTCTCTCATACGTAGCGTTTAGCCGCTTAGCCTTAGCCCTTTCAGGCGCATTTGGCGGCCTTGGAGCTGGGGCAGGTGAAGGCCAGGTGCAGACAGCAGAGGTGCTGGTAACAGATTCATCGCTACCTCCATGCTGAAATCTAGATGGGCCTCCGCTGCAAAAGGACAAGCGTAGTTTTGGAATCAAAGATGCTTGAACCAGGGTTGACAGCTAATTGCCTTTGTGGTCCTCCCTTGCTTTCCAACTTTTTCATTTGGGTCATCCTTGGCGTGGCATCGTTCCACCCAGCCAGGACCCTGACGAAGAAAGCAAAGTGGAGGAGGCGGAGGTGGCAGAGGAGGAAACTCGTCTTCCATTGCTGGGCATAGCTGGCTGAAACGATCTGAACGCAGAATGGTTTCAGATGAGATTGATGAGAGGTCTCCAATTTGCTGTGGCGAAATGGGTTTGGCCCCGAGCAGCGTTAGGCTCCACTTATGGAGGGCCATTTTATACAATTTTAATGAGACCGGAGGTAGATTCCAACGCGGTGATCGGTGATCTTGAGCGGAACATAGTGGAAAGCCTTTCTGCGCCGTAAGCGAATGGCTGGAGCGCTCAAACTATTGGAGCAGGATCTATCGATCTCTCTGTTTGTGAAAATTGTTGGGCCTCTCTGTGGGGTCCTTTGACTGGAATGGCTGGGGACAAGTCTAAGCTTGGCCCACTCCCTCTCAGGTTCCTTTAACGAATGGAACATGTATCCTAGTCCTAGTCAAGGAAACATTTCTTAGTAGCGTAAAATGTGACGGTCATTCTTCAGTGACAAGGCAGCTCCCATTGGTAACCACTGTGGTGGTAGACCAACTCCGACTGCCCATGGAATCCCTGCGAGAACGGAGGAGTCTCCTGCTCAACCGATGGATGATCCAGGCACCGGGGGATGAAGGAAAGCACAACTCTTGTCATCATAACGCGCATATTGTATTACTATATGCAATTAGCAATGGATGGATCGACCACTAGGGCCACATCCCTGATTTGTTTGAAGCACGGTTTGTTAAAAGGGATGTTTAAGGGGGTTGGATGCTGTTCCGAACAGTGGAACCTTAGGGCAACGCGTGAGGCTTTGAGCTGAGGACTCTGACCGCTCACTTGGCTGGCTTTCAGCCACACCTTTTGTAGGTCCTGAAGAAGAGCCACAGGCAGATGCGCCCGCAGAGGAGGAGGCTGCACCGGAGGTGCTGGGCAGAGTGTGCTACCAGTTGTGCAGCTTTTTTGCTTGAGTGCAACACAGAGCCACACAACTTCTGTTGGAACATGTGTATATAATCACCAGCAAAAGTGTACTTCCTTACTTTTATGCAAACTAGTCAAACTTCGTACTTCGGTTGAAAAGACTCGCATTGGCACTTAAGGTTTTTGTAGGGAGGAATGAACATTCTCCAAAATCATGGAAAATCCGAGCATGCCGGAAATAAGAAACGTGAACAGAACAAGAAACAACGCAAGGATTGTTTTAAAATGCAGATCGAAAAGAACAAGCTGAGTTACTGTAGTAGACAAACTTAGTTTTTGGCTGCTACGTCGTGTTTGGAGTTTGCTTGTGCCGGTCTCCAAAAAGGACCATCAAGCCATCTTAGTCTAGACACCGTGGTATCGAGTGGCAGCCCTTTTGGACTGCAATTACTTTTGAAAGAAGCGCAAGGAAGCTGATGGTTAAATGTTCAGGTCCTGTCCCTCGCTCGATGTTTTGAACTCGCCGGTGGCACAAACCAGTGCGTCGTTGCTGGAGACGAAACTCCATATATACATAGGACACAGTGAATGAATGGGCTCCTTTCAAGAGATATGGTGCATGTTCATGTCATGACAATACAAGAAGCTTGTTGTGACTACATGACAATTGTGGTAGGGAAGGAATCTCAGAACACATCAAAATCATTGCCAAATCAGTGCGTTTCCATGCGGAAAGCTGCTTTTTGCAAGACTATGCCGGGACACCCGTCCTGGCGTCGCGTTTCCATTAGGGAACGCAAGTTTTTTCCTACTACGCCGTGACTTCCGCGGCTGAGTGTAGCGTCCAATTCTGCCTTCAACTTTTGGGACATAGCTTCGGAAGCCATTGGAAACCATGACCTCTTTACCTGGAACTTGGAACCACTATATAATAACAATGTAGCTGCCACGGCTCCGGTGGCATACAGTGCTTTCACAGCAGCTTCTGGAGCGCTGCTTGCCGCTGGCACGCTGGAACAAGCACCCTGGCGGTTAAGGAGTGAGGAGCTGGAGTGGTTGGACAGGCAGCAAGAGCACCATTTCCACCTCCACGGTTCCTGGGGGGGCGCCATTGCGCAGAGAAGATTTTTAATTTCTAACACGGATGGTGAGTAATGCGCGTTCCAGCGGGACATGTTCTGTTAGTGTTGCATGGGTGAGACCATCAGGGCAAGCAAGAGGGTGGGCAGCAAATCTTGAAGATGCTGGTCAATGATGGCTATGGACAGGGTGGGCTGGCAAGCTTCCACCTTCTGAGCACTTAGCATCAGTCCTTGGCAAGGATGGTTGGTTAGTTGGCCCCAAATCTTTCAGATATGGTCATGTAAAGAGCACGAGAGGCCAAGTCAGGCATTGTATTGGGAACTGGCAACATAGCCGGGCTGCCCACTGTCACTTCAACTCGGAACTGTTACTGCTGCTGAGTGGATCCACGAAGCTGTCTGCGGAGCCCCAAATCACGCCATGAGAATGACCCGTCTTGCAATGATGCAGTCTGGACTGAGGATGACTCAGAGGATGTGGGCGGGGATGCAGATTCGGATTACCTCATTCAGCTTGCTGTCATCCATGGATGTTTCTTTGACCTTACCTGAACGGCGAAACTGTCCCAGTTCATTTTGATGCCTTTCTGATGTGGACACGTCGTTTTTGAAGTCAGATCCTGCACCTTTTGTCATCAGGTTGCTTTTGAGGCTCTTGAGGTTCCTGGTCCGGGGACGGCAGGGAATCTTATTTTTATTCATTTCACAATTCACAATTGACCCATCCAAGACCCACGAATTCACTGTCCAGGCGTGCAAGGCCACTTTCTCGTGCTTTCAGTTCAGTGGCTAGATACATAGTCCAGAGTCCAAGTCCAGGTACACCATTGTGCGGGTTCACGCCAAGCTATGGGGCGCAATGCGTCCAGGCGAGGATGGGTTGCGCAGTGCAGTTGACCGAAGTGACTTAGCAAAATTGTTTGCTCCTTCTCTTCCCTTTTCCTTCCTTTCAAGTTGAATCTAAAGCGTAACTTCAATTCAAGTTGTTATTAGTATTATATAAGTGCGCGTGCTTTTGGCCCTTCTCAGCTGATGCCCTCTAGAGACTCTCCTGCGCATTGAGGGCCAGCGCAACATTGAGGCCTTATGGATTAATTTGATTATATTGGCTGCCAGGCCAAACTGCTGCGCGCCATGCCTTGCGGCTGGCCATGCACTCGCGGGGCAGGACTGTAGGAGGTCCTGCGACAGGTCGGGCTCAATGCGGTGATGGCAAGCCCGTACAGGAACAAGGCTGCTTCCATCAAGGAATGTCGCACATTGACGCCTCCGACGAAGACAAGTTGCAAGTCACGCGGACTTCATTCTGTCGATCGATGCCCACTATGGGCAGAGTCACAGAGACATCTACGACGTTAGGCCCCGTGTCTACGAGCTCTTGATGCTGCCTTAGTTTTGCCTGCGTGCCTCTGGAAATACCTGTACACTGTTCAGTTGGGTTCGTACAAGGTATGTGCCATAGTATGCGCGCGTATGTGAGGGCACTTGTGTTTCCTCGACTGATGTATTCTTTTCGTGTATACATATATATACATATATGTCTTTTGAGCAGCTTCATCGTATAAGACTGATCAGGTAGAAGTATTTGATAAATATGTTAAGAGGGCATAAGCGATAAGCTCACAAATTAAGCTTTGACATCGACACGGGCTCTGGACTTTAACGAGTCAACCTTAACCTGACCTGTCAACATTCTGACGCTCAGCCTCAATTAGCGCGGGCCACCAGCTGCAAAGGTCCTTTCCACCAACATGGTTTTCTAACGTAAACATTAACAAACTTCTTCCCACAACGTTGGCTACCACGTGGAAACCTTCAACCCCCCCACAACACGGTAACTTCCAACATAGCCGCCGCGACAGCAACGGCAACGTGGCTCAGAACCAGTGCGGGCCGTGCCAAAAGAGAAACGCCTTAAACAAGCAACGGCGTGCAACAACAAGCCAAAAAGGCTAGCTGGCCGTACTGAGCCACTACCATAGTTCCACGGGCAAGCATAACGCTTGCGCGCAAACATAGCAACGCACACCAACGAAAAGTCTACCCGCCCAGCGTGTCGCCCAGCCACCTAAACCTACAAACGTAGCAGAGCGCAGCAAAGCACACAGGCCTTACCAGCCAACAAACGAAACCAACATACTGCCACCAAGCCAAACAACGCTATCAAGCCACCTTCTTGACACACTCCCAGATCGTCTGAGGACCATGGCAGGAAAAGAAAGTCGTCTCCCAATCAGAGCTCTCAAATAGTCCAATGACTGTTCCCAGCTTTGAGGCCGCCAAAGAAGTCCCGGAGAAGATTCAATTTTCAGTTTGCAGCGGTCTAGAGGTGGCCCAAGAGCGTCTTGGCAATAAGTCGAGGCAGCGGCAGAGAATCGAGGCTTGCCAATGAAAACTTCAGCGTGGACACCTGGCATTGAGTTGCTTTTTTTTGGCAGACGGCAACGAAGAAGAAGAAGCAGAAGAAGAAGAAGAAGACGGAAAGCGCCCCTGCTTCAAAAGAGAGGTCCCGAGCAAAGGGGAGGAAGAAGGTGTCGCCCGATTTCTTTCACGTGTGTGCCTGTGTGATCGGCAGTGGGCCTTGTGACGCGGCTCGGACGGAGAGACCTGGCACTGGGGAAAGTGGAAAGATGTCACGACGTGTTTTTGTCCTTTGAATTTGAATCCAGGCTGTTCCAAACATTTGTTCGAGTTCAGAAAGAGTGTTTGCAGGCCTGAAAAAGCAAAGCCTGAGATGGTTCATACGGGTTGGCCTTTGGGCCTGGGGTTTTTACCTTTCGAAGCGAGGGAAATGAGAAAAACTCGTCCGCTCTTCACGCCAGAGGCTCACAAAGAGCGCTAGAGATTTACGCAGGTCTTCTATTTATTGGCACCGGCTGCGCAAATCATTATCGCAAGTGCGCAGTGTACACTGTACACCATGGGTGCGTCCAAGGCGGACTTCACCTCACCACGCTGCCTGTTCAGCGCTCGGAGACAAAAAGTGGCAGCGCGCAGACTCAGCGCTTTTCAAAAGATAAGGGCAAAAAGAAAACAGTGTTTGGAGAAAATCGGGCAAGGATGACAAGATATGACGGGGCTAGCCTAGCCCAGTTTGAGGGGGCTAGAGTTGCAGATTGTGGCCAACGCTATGAACAACACACACATCAGAGTCCCGCAAAGCTGCTTCAAACGTTGGGAAGAAGAACGGAACAGGGAAGCGCTGCGATTGCATGCTTGATCAGTTCGACGTACGCAGTTGATCACGGAAAAGAGGCCATCTCAGGCGATGAACTGCTGCAGTGGTCTTGCAGTGCACTGATGCGTTTTTGTTCGCCGGTTTTTTCACTTTCAGTGCGGCTAGCTCTGTTACTAATGTGTAAAGTACAAAATTGAGAAAAGGGTTAACTCGGTTAACCTGTGTATATGTTTTGTTTTTATTTCCCAAGCCCTTTGAAAAACACAGTTTGGGAGGATTCCTCGTTGCGGATCCCTTGTTGCCCTAGCCCCCAAACCATGTTCTTGTACCCATGATTTCAGCCCCCGATTTCAACTTGTGAAATTCAACACGAGAGTGTTAAGCAAAAAACAAAACACCTACGACATATACAGCACCAAAACCTTGCTGACGACTTGAGCCAGTGGTGGTGGAAAAAACACCAAAAGAAGAAACATGCCTGGGATGAAAGTCACAGAGAAGGAACATTTCTCCAAATTCGTTGCCTGTTGCAGAAAAAATTCCGCTTTTTGGAGCGTCCTCACCACGCCTTTGCTTTGCTTTACCTCACTCTAGCCTTCCATGAGCTGGGTGTATTGCCAAATTCTTCAAGCTACAAAATCGTAAAAGGCCAAATGTGCAGAAGTGAAGGTTCAAAATTCAAGATGTTTCTGAGCCCCCAAGTTTGAGATCCTGTAATTTTAGCACGAAATTGTGAATCTTCTGAAACATGGCACGCGGTGGTTGCCAGGGCTCCTTTTTGTTCGATTTCAGAGCCTGGCAGGAGAGTCCAAAGATGACTCACTTGGATGAAGGAACCTTGGACATGGAGGTGGAGGCTGTGACAGTCAGTCCGTAGCAACCCTTACCTTGGTCCAGTCAAATAAAGGAGGGTCAAATCTTCATACAAGAAGGTGAACACGTACAACGGTGACATGAGGTGTCTTTTTTTCAAGGATTTTTCAGAATCATGTTGGAACGGTCCAGCAGGTCTTGAAGGACATGGACGATCCCAGGTGCGTTCGGGGGCCGTACAAGAGTGCAGTCGGCTTTTGGACGCACCCTGGGCCTTAGTGTCGCTTGCATGCCAACTCACCACGCTCAGCTCTTGCAATCAACTGAAATGCTTGAACCATTTGCAAGGTTCATAACCTGAAAGGCGTTGTGCTTTGTAGTGAACATGAAGTTACCCCACACTGGATAGTTCAGAGCTTCCAACGTTTGGCTAGCCGCAAAATGTTGAGTTTGATACCGATCGCAAATTCATATTGAGGAATTAGAGAACTAGTGGAACTAGTAAGTAAGCAAGAGAGGTTGTTCTTTACTAATACCGCTCTAAAACAGGATGCATTGATAGTTTTGCCCCTCCCAGCCCCAAATCGAGGAATGGTTGGCCTGACCAAAGAAACATAATTTGTGATGTCATCCTCCCCACCACGCCTGGTTTTACCGCTCGCCCCACTGGTCTCACCAGCGTTCTATCGATCTTCTGTTGATGGGTGACGAATCGCGACATCGAACTGTGAGGCCTGGCTCCAGCCTGAGCGATCTCAAGAGCACTCCAGAAGTGCCAGACGCGCCGAAGCAGGCGGAGTTGACCAAAGGTGTCGAGGCGCAGGGTGTGGACCGTTTAGACTTGGTTTGGCGTCGAGTCTAGAGCATGCTAGAGCAATGAGAGAGCAGATTCACTTTGTCCAGGGTGTTCACCGTGTTCACCATGAAAAGGCTGCATCTAATTATTGTGTTTGGTGGCCAGTGAGTATAGTTGACATGTTTTTTGGTGGACGACAACTGGTTGGAGTTGACCAGAGAAGAATTCAAGCAGATGATCTTGATTTATGATGTATGTATTTAATGATATTCTATGTACTGTTAGGGCAAGCCTTTGTGCACACCTCAAATCATGATGAGACCATCGCACAGAGTGTTTGTTTGAAACATCGAAACACCAAGTGTGTGGCGATGCCTGCCTGAAGGCTACCGTAGAGCCTTTTTCTGGAGTGCTGGGCTGAATCGACAGTTGTGCAATCTTCCTATTTGTCACATTCCCCTTGCATTCATTTTGTATCTTTGTCCATACTATGATTCCATTTGTCACAAAACGTCAAGTCTATGCATGAATGGTCACTTGTCCTTTTGCAGGGCTCGTTGTGGGACAGCTGTGCTTATCAATCCCTGATCCCATTCGCTGCAGGTTCAACTCCCTGTTCCCTGAGATTGCATGGCTTTTGCTCAACTCAGCTCGCATCACCTCATTTAGGCTCTAAAGGCCCCAAAGGCACAATTTCCCGTTCTATCAATATTGAGTTCATGGCACATCAGTAACTCATCATCTCATCTCTCTTTCACTTTCATCATTTTCATTGACGGATCTTCCCTTCACCTCACCTGTTTCATTGTTGTGGAAAAAAAAACCTGTGAACTGTGAACACACCTCCCATTCCATCTCTCACAAGAGTTGCAGCTGCACGGGTGAGGATTCCCCAGTGCATTGTTGGCTGAGGCGAATCTGCCACGAGAAATGCGACACTTCCTCGCACTGTTGAGAGTCCACCGCTTTGAACAGAAGAGGCTCCGGCTCGGGGCGACGGATAATTTCAGCCTTGGACTTTCTAGTTTCTCGTGGCAGCTTTATCGAGCTTTTGGAGTTAATCATGTCCACATCGGTACTTGTGCTTTCTTCAGCAGACAGCAATCCAACGCGCTTTTTTGCCCATAGATGATCTGTCACAGGCGTATGAGAAGAGACCATGCTATTCTTGACAAAACCTGGGCACTGTAGATGCCCCAATCACACTCTTCATCAATTGCCAAGCCAGTTGCAGACCTCTCATTATGCGGTGAAGGAATTGTTTAAAGCTTTCAGCCAACTGGGCCAATGGGTCTCTTTTGCGCGGTTGGCTCATGAACTTACCCTAAAGGCCTCACCCCCAGCCAACCAGCTAGATAATCTTGCATCTCGGTGGAGCACTCAAGCTGCAGCTCGATCTTGGATATCCCTGACTTGGTGCAAGCCATCGTGGAATTCAATGATGACGCGGACTGGTGGGGGGAGATGCTGGGATGCGGACTCGCCTTTCCCGTCGACAGCCGGTTCTAGTCTCCATTGTAAGCAGAGCAATCATGAACAACCCGAAAACGGGACACGAGACCATGCAACCATGCACTAGTCACTAGTTCATGTAATTACCACGAGGAAGGTGTCAATACACATTGTGCATGTTCTTCGAGCAGTTTTTCAGCTGCCAGCATGGCCTCAAGTCCATCGACCGCGAATACCCACGTTGATGTCGATCGGTCGAAGGAGTTGTCTCGCTTTGGCATAAAAGCTCTAATGTCTGGCTCCGCCCTGAGAGGGAGAGAGTTTATGTCTCAAGAAAGTTCAACAAAGGGGTGATGAATATATTACTGTACTTTGTGGTCTACATGGTCTTGTACACCTTTGTCAGGAGTGTTAGCTTGGTCAGCTCGCGGGGGTGGGGTGGGCAAACACCCACGAAAAGCTGAAGCTGTTTTGAGTCACATCAAGGGCAATAGCAACGCGTTGAATGAGTTCATATGCTGGGTTTCCAGCTACAAGCTAAGAGATGAAATACGAAAAGACGCCAAGCTGAATGTTGCCAGGCACTGCTATGGAACAAGAGATGCGGTTGCCCACAATCGGTAGGCCGCTTCGTGGAGCTCGAAGTTGGGTCGGGCTTGGCGGGGACTTGGATGAACACTTCTGACCTGCATCCAGAACGCCAGCAACCTTTATCAGTTCTTTAGAAAGTCTGCCAATGTGTATTTGCGACTGCTACCCTCTGATCCACAGTATGATATGCACTCAAACAATATTACTTTGAAATACTTTGAACTATATGACCCAAAGATGGACTATGATGGACTACGTCCTCCGCGGGCGTCCAGCGGTCAATCACACTCGGCTGCATTTCAGATTCGTTTTTGATCTTCCACGTGGGCTGACACCAGTATGAACCCGGGAATCTGTACGGTCTGCATCGCACCCCTTGGGAGCTGTTTTGTCCTGTACGCTGTCCTCTCTAACACAGAGTGTGAACCAAGCCCACCCTGATACGGCCTCCGCGTCAGGAGTCTCCCTGCACAATGTGTTTTCGGATTATTGTCGGAGCGGCATTGTCCATCACGCTGCCTGGCCCAACCTTGCGGGGCGGTTGGGACCTCCTGTGTTTATACAGAGGGCCTTCCCTGCTTGGTCCACGGGTTGGGTAGTAAGGGGGACTATGCAGGCATATACATACATGACATACATGTACTGCATTTTGAGGTCGAGAACAGGGGTGCCATTGTTTGCATGGTAGCGGAGCCTACCAGGCTCCTGCTCCTGATTTGCGGTGAAGCGGGTGTGAGTCTGCAGTGGCGTCGGTGTGGGTGGCACCCTGTAAATCCATCGAAGCCGGTGGTGTGGGCACGGCTTAAATCCTGCTTGAGAGGTGGCACGCATCGAACACGTCGTTTGCACCGCTGACGCCACCACAGCTGCTGGAGGAAGCTGCAGCTGCATCGCCGGGCTTTGCATCTCCGGCAGCTGGGCCTTCGCAACTACATCCTCTTCTACCTCAACCAGTTCCTGGCCCCAGACTCATCGACGCCAAGGCGATTGGCAAGCTGAGGTCATTCAGTGGCAAAGATGAGGATTGGCCAGCTTGGGTCTTTGTGGCCAGAGGCTATGTGCACCTCCTGGATCACGCCTACCATGCTATGCTGGAGGCGGCTGAGAATGCTCTGAGCCAGAACGAGCTGTCGACGGTGGACATGAGTGACACAGCCCAGGAGCTATCGATGGCGCCCTTCAACCTCCTTCAGATCTTGATGAACGTGGAGGGCTCCAATGGCTTTCAAGCTTGGAAGGCGCTATGTAATGCCTATGAGCCGCAAGTTGGAGGACGGCGCATGGCTATGCTGACAGCCATCATCGCCCCGGACTGGAAGATGGTGAAGGAGCCAGAGCTGCTCGAGACCTGGCAAGTGCTCATCAAGCGCTATGAGATGCAGTCCAAGGAGACGGTGTGTGAGTCCGTGAGACTCACTGAGAGTGGCTGATGAAGCACACTCCAAGTCCAGTGCAGAATGCCATGAGCAAGTACGACAAGCAGGGCAAGGGCAAGCAGAGCCAGACGAAGAAGTTCAATGGTGAATGCTCCTACTGTGGCCAATGGGGACACAAGAAAGCAGACTGCAGAAGCTTGCCAAAAGATCGCGCTTGAAGAGACGCAGAGAAGGGCAAGGGCAGCGCCAATCAATGCTGTTCAGACTGCTACATTGAAGCGCCGGCATCACCTACGGGAGTGCCTGGCAGCAGCGCCAATGCTGTTGTCTACTACTGGATCGACCTTGACAATGACGAGAGGAACGCGTGGACAGACACCTACGACATCGAGCACGGGTACAGTGATGAGATGTGGGTGATGATGATCCACAAGCCCGTGGGAAAGAAGGTCAGCGATTGGCACCATGTTAGCTTCCAGCCTAGCGGCGCCTCCGTGAAGTACTGTGTCAGCCACTCCGCGACCGCGAGTTGATGGAGGCATGATTGGAAGGAACAACCATTCATGATGCACTTCTTCACCAGCCTGGCTGAGGCTGGGATTGTCAACCAGGATGTTGGTGTCCAGTAGGTCCAACCTTTGCAGCGCTGTCCATGCCAGGTAGCGTTGATGGCTGAGTCGTACAGGTGTGGCGCTTTCCTCCTGATCTGACAGGATGGGAACCCTCCACACGAGGAGAGACTTCCCCACCACCTCCATGTGGTGTGCAGCTCATCCACAACAGGCTGCAGTTCTCTGGAACCACCAGTGGCAGTGCTGAGAACATGACCGGCTCACAGACGTCGTCGTAGACCCACCATGTCCCATCGTCCTTAGAAGACGCCGAACACGAGGTGGAATGTGGTCTGAGTGTCCTGGCCGTATAGTCAGCCGTACCGTGGTACGCGAGGAGCCATGGGAAAACCTCGAAGGTGGGGCGTGACCATTGGGTGGGTTGTATGGTGCGGTGAAGTTGATGGCCGTGCAAAGAGTTAGAGTCCCAGTGGGAATCTGTGGGATGATAGGAGTCTTGGAGTGATGGTCAACCTCCAGCTTGTTGTCCAGGAAGTATGGTAACCAGACTGTGGAGCAGAAGGCAAGCCCGTCTAAGGTGTGCTTAAAGTGAAGCTCACAGCTCACTACTTCGTGAAGGGTCCTTCGGCTTCCCAGCAGACTGAGTGACTTTCAGTGCCAGCTGCCTCACTTGATGAGATTCCCACAAGTCTGTAGCACGAGTTGAAGGTGTCCACCAGGATGTTAATATCAAGAAGATCCAGCCCAGGCAACCTTTGTCATTCCAGTTGTCATGGACTTTGGGGTCATGAATGGTGTTGTACACTGTCTCCTCCTGAGCCACCCATGGTAGCGATGAGAACTCCACGGTGTCCATGGCGTCGTCATAGACCCGCCAAGTGCCTCCATCTTGGATGGCAATGCAATAGTGTCCATTGGCAACATCGAAGCCCAGGTGGTAGGAGACGCCATTGTCCTGAGAAAAAATGTAGTCAAACTCCAGCTTTTTACCCAGAAAAGATGTAAGCCAAGCCGCCCAAGACGGGCGCTTACCATCCGGAATGAGCCAACATTGCAGTTGCTTGAAACAAACTCCACAGGCTCTAAATCGAGCAATCATGGTGTCCCGCTGAACTTTGTGGGTTCTGAATCGAGTTTCCGGATAAGCTTGCTCCTCGTGGATGTAGATGGCGGCTGAGAGAGGTTGGGCATCTGTCCCAAATGGGTCCATGGAGATTTGCTCGTTGAAGTGCATGGATAGAGAATGTCTCCTGGGGATGAGGCTGTGTGCCGTCCAGGTGTATTGATTGAGGTCCTGTGCCACTTGGCTTCGCCTTGAAAAGGGCTTGAAGAGCCTGTGATGTGTCGGCTCCACTGCTCCACTGGTTCTCGTGGCAGACCCAGAAACGTCGGGCCACCAGGGTGGAGCCAAAGGATTCACAGCACTCGGGTTGTTCACGTTGTAGGCCATGAAGAGTCCTGCAATGCAATGAGCCAACCAACCCTGGTCGCGGACTTGCGACCCCGTAGCCTCCACGTGTGTCCGCGAGCTCGATGGTCTTGATCGTGGCCAGGTGCTGGAGGAGATGTTCGTGTAGAAGTGGTTCTTCCAAGGTTGCCAGTAGAGAATGGCGGCCACAATCACAAGGAACAGGAGGTAGAACCTGAAGAGGTAATCGGTGAGCTCCTGCAAATAGAGATCTCGTTCTCGGGGTCCTGGAGATTGTTGAGCAAAGGACCGGTAGTCGAGACCGTCGATCAGCCCGGCGGTCAACTTTGGGTTGCCCATGAGCTGGATAGACGTTCCCGCACTGCCCCCGCGGCAACGTGGGCGATGGGGGTTGAGCCGCTCATGGCCCTTATCATCATCATCATCATCATCACCATCATCATCATCATCAACATCATCATCATCATCAATATATAACCCAAACAAATATACATTACATTACATTCATCCACTGAGGCTCATCCCTTCTGGACGTTCCCGAAAACGACACCCAGTCCCGACTGGAGGTTCGCGACCAAAGCTTCTTCTGCCAGGTGCCCCAACTTCGTCAAGTCTGTACGGAGGAGATGTGCTGCGAGGGTCGACCAGTGCGGTTGTCGACCTGTGTCAACCTGACGGATGAGGGACGAAAGATGGACTGAAAAAATGAGATTCTCCATCCAAACTCGCAGAGAACATCCCAGTGTCATTGGCCTCTTGACTGGTGTCGCGTGTGGGTCCACACCAACACCAAAGCAGCTCCTAGCCTTTAGTCGCTACCTGCCAGGCGCACTTTGATCAGCAGAGATGTCACTCAATCCTAGCTGTCCAACTTGCTTCCTTCCCTTTGCTGTGCCTATGTCTATCAATATCATTGTTTGGCTTCTGATGATAACTATGGACCATGGAGGCTTGGATACAGACAGTTAAAAAGTCTCGGAGAACACTGAGCCGGAGCTACTTCTTGTTTTTGCAGGAGGAACACTAGGCCTAAGGCTAGTTTCCGTGAATGGCAACCGACTCGCGAGGATGGTGCAGAAAGAGGGCGCGGTGGGGGTGCTTCAGCTTCAGCTCCGCCACTGGGCAGCCATGATGGATCATGATGGGTTGTTGTTTAGGGATATTAACCTGAACAGTATCAGTATCAGTAGCATCTCTGGAATGACATTCCTTGAATTTTGTTCATGCCAGCCTAAACCAAGAGGCAACCGGGTTCGTTTCCCTACCTTTGTTTCCTAACCCCAGTCAAAAACGGTCAAGATTCACTGCAGACATATTTACTGTAAATATATACCTAAACACTCACTATCTCACTAGCCGTATGAGCAATGTCATTGTGCTCTGGATTCGTGGCGACCAAAACTTCTCTCAGTGTCCACTTTCGGCAGCACTCAACACCCAGATTTGGGACCTTTGCACGCAGCCTGCTTTTGTGTCGCCAGAGGCTTCGTTCAGAGCTAGGGATGTGACATATCCAGGTAAACGTCGCTGCTTGGGAGGGTCCAGGGCCGGCCCCCGTTTTGGTAGACGCTCTTGGAACCCATCACATCGGACTTACTGAGGCTTGATCCTGGGAATCTTGGACAATGATCCAACAGATTACCAGGCCGGTGACCGGTGTGCGTCGATAGCCAACTTGTTTTGTCCCGACGACCGGACGGTGCAGCGCTCCTGCAGCGCGAGCGCTGCAGCGAGCCTCAGGACACTTTTCCACTACTGCTCCACTGTGCTTGTCCCCTATGGGGTGTAGCGATTTGGCCAAGCCAAACAGCAGGGGTTCCCAAGTGCAGGTGAGACGAGGTGAGGCTAGCTGGTAGCTGGTAGCTGGCTTGTGGGTCAATCAAGTCAACGAGCCAGGATTGGGTTGAGGTGGACGTGCTGGCCGTCGCCAAAGTCTTGCAGGCGAGATTCTGAAAGGGACTCAAAGTCCAGTTCTCATTTTTGATTCATGATTCTTTGATATTTTTGTCAGATATCAGGGACCTTGGAATTGAACTTTCTCTTCCGAAGATTGAAGCCAATTTCTTTTTCACATTCTTACAATACCCAAAACATAATAAGGATGGTGCTTGACGCTGCTGACTCCACTAACTCCTTGATGATCCGACGTTCCCTATGTTCCGATCAGGCGACCAACATTTGGACTTCCAACGCCTGGGAGGCACTGATCTGAGCGGAAGAGCAGCATCCGTTGTTGCTCCTAGGAACAGGTGTCTTACTAGTAGTAACAAGTGCCTTACTAGTAGTAACAAGAAGCTACTAGTAACAAGTGCATCGCTTCTAGTAACAAGTGCCTTACTAGTAGTCACACTGCATTAAATTGGGAAGCCACCCAGCCAGACCACAGTGACATGCACACAGCCCTCATCTTCGGCTGGAGCTTTAAGTACTTCCCTTGAGAAAATCATGCATTTTTATATAAATGGGATGTTGAGTATGTTGAAGTGCCGCAAGAACAAAGGTGAAGCTAACTAGACCAAAATGAATCGGCGGTTGCTGGAAGATCCATGGTAAACAAGCTTAGAATTCCACACAAGCCACGCGGCGCACTCTTCCCGATGAGAGTGTTTTCCTGCTACTGTGAAGCAACCGTTGTCACCCAGCTCAGTGATGATGCTTGTAGCCGCCACAGTCTCATGGCTGAAGAATCACAGATTCTCCGCGATATCCGGATATCCACGCTCCATTAGACTCCACTGGTTTGGTCTCGAAGAGAGACACTGGAGGAAGAGCTGAGGAGCTCTATCAGCCCTTGGCAGGTGATACTATCAGCCATTACAGAAGCCATGCGGACGCCACATGGTGGGGTCTCTCAGTTAGCAGATCCTTTGCACAAGTCAAGGGGTTGAGAGATGCCCCTTCACCAAGACCTCAGATCCTTGAAGCATCCTGGTATTCCTGGTAGCCTGCATTCCTGGCAACCTGATGCCAGCACTCCCGGAAGTCGAAGGCAACACTCAAATACTTGTGAAGATCGGCACATGTTTCCGGATTGAAGCACATCGCTAAATCTGCAGGAAAGATTCAGTTGCAAAACTTCAACGTTGCCTTGTCCCTGTACAAGGCCTGCAGACGGCGGTACAGCGCAAGCAGTCCAAGTCGTAGTGACTTAGCGACGTCACAACCCTGACTCAGTCGATCCTCATATAGATAGAAACGTATAGTATATTCAAGTATATTCCTTTTCAACATGTATTGGAAACCGTTTCTATCTATCTAATCAATCCATCAATCTATCAATCAATCATCAACCTATCTATCTCGATCTATTAGGGGACCCCTATAAGTCTTCAGTCTTCACTTTGCGAGGACAGTGTTTTTTGCTTTTTCGATTTTATCGGTGTTTCTATTGCATGGCAGGAATGGGAAAAGCTCAAAGATAACCCTGATGATGCCTTGGCCAAGATGCTGGTGTCAAGCTACTTGGCTTGAGGACCAAAATAATTCGCCGGAATCCTCACAAAATGGTTCCTTCATGATCCAGTGGAAGGGAACACACCACCCTGCTCATTGAACTGTTGGGAACACAGCCCCTGCAATTTTTGCCAGGCCACCAAAGATGCTTCTTTTCACCTTTGTACAACCCTGCCTTGCCATTCATGAATGGGATTCTGATCTTTCTTGGAATCCTTACGTAGTATCATTGAGTTATTCAAGGCATCATGTTTGGCTGATGTCACCGTGGAGGTCATGGAGGCCACGTCCTTTTTCATGGATGATTTATGTGGCAAACATCGCATCTGGTCAGCCTGATTGGCCTGGTTGGCCGGCTCAGGTTTCTTTGACCAGACCGAAAGGCGCGTCGGAACGTGACCGTCCGGTGGGGGGTTGAAGGTGACCCGTTCACGGGAGATGAAACGAAGGCAAAACGTAATCATTCCGGAGAAGAACTTGAAAAGAAATGGACGCAGTCACTCACAGACAGACCATTCCAAGAGAAGGTGCAGGGCGTGGATTACGTTGGACTTGAAGCAGATACTCGTAGCTCTACTGGAGATCAGATCACTCAGGGGCGAAGTGTAACAGGTCCTGGCAAGGATAGCTCCGAACTGGGTTTAGGCTAGCCGCGGCTAGCCATGGTTTACTTTGGCAGATTGCCGTTAAGTGTTTGGCAACTGGACAAGAGCTTCTGATGCTTGTGAGGTGTTTGGAAGAAAGAAGACATGGAGCCAGAATTAGCCACAAGCTGTTAGCCATTTCGAACACTTCGCCAACATCCGTGCAGCCATAGAGCCCTCCCTTGCTGGGAGCAGTCCTGTTCACTTGTTCCGAGGACCCTGGAGATGATAGGCTGAGCAGAGTTGCAGCCTCCAAAGCCTGATTGCAAACCTCAGATGCTCATGACACATCCAATGCCCCGATATAATATATTATAAACTATATATTCACATACATATATACGCACTACTTGAGGACACCTTGTACCACCTGGCAGAGATCGCAGGATATAATTGCAGGGTTTTCTGATGCTTTGCCAATTTGTGTATTCCAGGTTTTCTTTTTGCGTTTTGTTTCGTATCTCAACTCTGGAGGCTGCAGGTTAATGCACTTGAGATCCTCTTCGCATAGCGAAGACAGGGACGTCGAGAGCGCAAGATGCGCCGGTCTGAAGATCAGCACCACCGGTCGAGACCCACTTTTTGGGCATTGCACCTGCCTGCGCCACAAAGAACCTCATGGGCGCTTTCAAAATCAGAGTGTTTTTTGTTTTGTTTTGTTTTCTCATGTTGCTTTCACAATGTCCAGAACCACTTGCACTTGGTCCATGCTCTTCACAGGCATTCACTTCTCAGCACGACAGCCCTGGTGAGATGATTAGAAGATGACTTGCGCTTGCTGTATGCCACTGTATATCAATGGATGAGAATGCTAATTGAATCTACAGTAATTGAATATTTGGAGTGAGGATCGTGATGTTTTGGCGCAGTCTCGGTCTCGTTTCGGGAGTTGCATGTTCTTGCTGGGAACACTCGTTGCTACCTATGGGCTCAAGCGGCCTCTGGTGATGGGCTTTGAACTGCCTGGGATCCTGATTGAGATTGATACAGCTCGCAGGAATGACAGTCAGGGCCAAGCAGAGTCTGCATGTTCGACCCCATACTGCTGGAGCAAAATCCGTGTACTCCACATGTATCACAGTCCAAGATAGATCGGTGCCGGATATGAATGTGGGGATACTTGCATTGACATTCTCTTGGCTCTTGGCTAGAGGGACACATCCCAAACTTCCATAATGTCCATCAACTTCCGCTGTGAGCACCCCACTGTTCTCCAGATAGCAAGGGCCCCTAAGGCATCTAAGTAGGGTTGCAGTGTGAGGGAATTATGTCCCCAGCTTAGTAGCGATGCCAGGAGCCCCTAGTAGCTTCTTGTTCCTAGTAGCTTCTTGTTACTAGTAGTAAGGCCAGGAGCCCCTAGTAGCGTCCTTGCTCCTATGCTATCGCCATGAGGTATGACTCCGACTCGGAGGGCACGGTTTGCAGCGACGATGCTTTAGGTGGGTGGAAGTTGGTGGGTCAGTCGGGTGTGTACCCCGGGGGAGAGAGTGATTGAGACGAAGTTTCTGTCAACGAAGCATAGACACCGATCCTACTCTGGAAATTATATATGTAAACAGAGGGTTGGTTAGACTGTGACACGAAATGGAACGAGTTCCTCGACATGAAATGGTATGGGTTCCTCCTCATGGGTCTTTGGGTTGCTCATACGTCATCAGCAGCCTGGTGAGGTACATACACCACAGCTCCAGGAATCTGGGATTTCATGGGATTTCGAATAACCCGAGCCATGCGATGCTCTTTTGCAGAGATGGCCGTGCCCTCCCTGAGACAACACATGGCACAATTGCTTTCTGCACCCATGCATGTCTTTTCTTGCTAGGTCAGGCAGTAGTTTTGGAGTTGCCCATTTCTGAACAACCTTGCTTCCCAGCATCAGGTTGGGCTGCCAGCGAGCCTCGGCAGGTGGGAGCATCTGTAGACTGAAGTTCAGAGGCGACCAGGTAAGACCTCCCAGGAGGTGTGCTGACCAAGACACTTTTTGTGTTGGTTTCAATATGTTTCAATAGTAACCTTCCCGCCTTCTATATTTAGGGTGGGGTCCATCGCTCTTAGGTTGGAGGCCAGAGGCCATCGCTATCTTCGTTTCAAACACGCCGTGTTGGGCTTCGATCCAGGCAGCCGCCGGTTCGGCCAGATGCGCCGTGCTAATGGGTGCGCTCAGGGTAGTAAGCTGGTATGGATCATGAAGCAAGGCTGCGCATTTTTGTGTTTACAGTGGTTGTTTGAGCCAAAAGTGGATGAGACATGTCCAGCCAGGTATACCGGATGTTAGTTGTGAGAATTCCCGCCCCCAAAACTGATAAACTTTGGTCTTGTTTATGCCTTCTATGTCCAGGCCGCGGAGCCAAGGACAGGGATGTGGGAGGGCAGAGATGTATGATCGACACTCCATCAGTTCCATCGGTTTCTGACATTCAGGTCACCAGACATTTGGACATGTCATGCCATGTTCAATTTGTACGCATCCATGGTTCTACAAAGGGTGTTGCACCCTTCGAAAGGAGTTCATCGAAAGCGCCAAAGGCCGGAATGGGTCATCCTCCCCACACTGGACCTGATGGAAGGAACGAAGTTATTTGCGAAAGCCAGCCGGTAGACTAGGCCTAGGCTGAAGTTAGTTCTGCGAACGAAGATACTTTTTGTGCCCGAAACTTAATTGTGTTTCTGGTAGAGACAATTCTAGGCACGTAGGTGGTGATGCAGAACATGCAAGGTGTAATCGTGTGTCATCGTTTGCATCAGCTAAGCTTTTTGTGGAGGGTTGACTGGTGTGCCTGCTGGTGCTGGTGTGCCTGCTGTCGCTATTTGGCTGCTTCCATTGCACTCCGAAGCACTTTAGATGAGACGCACGTTCAACATCATCCGGAACGTAGGTCGAATCATACCCCCGAATCATACCTGGCTAAAAATGCGATGTTGCTTGTGTATTTGCGAAGCATACCTCCAAAACATACCTTGCAACATACCCCGAAACATACCTCTGAAAAATACCTTCAGGTTAAACACGCATTGCCGCCTGCCCTATTTGCGGAAAGACCCATTTGTACTTTGTCAATTGCTCCTTGCCCCACACCTTAGCGTGGGGACCTGCACTGGTTTCTACTGGCTTTCGTTTGGAACTCTGACCCTCCATGATTTAATCGTCTCATCGGCCCGGTCCGCTGGCCCTGACGGATGAAAGTTGAGCCGCGATTTGAGAAGGGATCGGGCAGGCCTTTAAGTTCATATACTCGCGTTTGAACAATTTTGAACATACTTGTATATTGTATTTCTCCATGATTGACTCTGTGGACTTCATGCCTGCAGGGCAACGTTTGAGTGCCAGGAGCGATGGGGATCGGGATCGGCCTGGGCAGAAGCTATATAATTTGTCTGATAGGGAACTGCAGATCAGAAAAGCTGAAAGCAAAGATGAGAGTACATATATACAGTAGATTGCAGTACAGGTCTGAAAGGGAGTATTGTGAAGAAGTCTCTGAATTGAACTGGCAAGATGGCCTGTCAACACCACCTGAAACTCCATTTCAAAGTGATTCTGATACTTAATCAATTTGTTCTTCCCAGAATGGCCTTTTCAGGCCCTATTGAGCCTTGCTTCGTCCAAACACGTACAAAGGCGAAGATCATCAAAGATCCATTTGACGTGCAGCAGTGTAGCCACGAGAACTGCTTCTGGTGATGTTTGCAGGAGCGCCCACATGAGCACTACATGGGATGGCAGACACAGCTTACGCTCCTCCCACAGCGGCTGGGAGGCTGAGGCTGTTCATGTGAAGTTTCGAGGACCTGGCAGTCTGTTTCCAAGACCTCAGTTAGCTCTTAACACATGAATTTGGGCTTTCTCTTTCCAAGGTAGAGCCAGGTCCTAGAAAGTCAAACAAGGGTGTGAAAGAATCTTAGCACTTTGTTAAGACATCGCATGAACTTCCTGGCAACTATATAAATATAAATATAAATATATAAGTATATATATATATTAGTAGACGAAACCATAGCTGCTTTTTGACTGTTCAACCTGGGTCTCACACTCATATGACTAGGTTGATGGTGGTTTCGTGTGATTTATCAACCAACCAGGAACCGTGCAATTCATTGACCTCCAACCTGAACGCCCCAGGCTCACGCGGCGGCTGGGAGAGCCAGCTCCACATGAGGCAATTTCAGTCCATTGCCAAGATGGGTGATGTATGCTTACGCCTGCTGCATGTATTCGAGAAGTCCAATGACCGAACGGGCAAACATGGTCTTTGGGTAGCTTCGTAGCCATTTCCTTCGGTTTGCCGGACAAAACTGGGCAGTAGTCGCAGTAGTAGACGCTTCAGTGAATTTGTATGATACAAGTCTCATGATGTCATGGTGAATCTGTGGTCTTGATGAGTGCACTTCCACTTCCACGTGTGTAGTAGAACGCCAGCCTCGCAGCTGCTTCAACAAAGATGCAGACGGATACTTTCTGGAAACTGCAAGACTTCTCAGACTTGCCAACTGTGACCAAATTCTCGTGGATGCTAGCAACTCAGTAATCCTAGTTTGGCCCATCACTTTGGGTCGGCCATCTTCGAATGGCGCAGCAACACGTTTCAACAGAGTCACGAAGCCACTTTTTTTTTCAGATTTGCTGGGTATGAACACCTGAACCTTGTTGATGATTGTTCATCTGAAGTGAAGGTGCTTCCGCAACAAGAATGCTCAACAACCGAAATTACAGTAGTCGCAATTCTCGACCAAATTTTGACCTTACCCATACTGTACATTTTTCCGCTTGCGATGGGCTGGTCCGCCTCGGAAGGCAGTCGGACATCATGGTTTGTTCAAGGGTTGGCTGATCTTCAGTGTGGGTCAACAGGAACTCCTCCCAAATCTGCCAGGTGGGTTGACCTGCCAGGTTGGCTGTGACTGTTTTGTGGATTGACAGGAAAGGTGCCCCACTGTAATTACATCGCTTGGGAAGGCCTCCATCGGTGTACGTACCGCACTGATGAACGAGCAGACCAAAGATGTTTGGACCGGGCGGCGGGCGTGGTACTGCCCATGCTTGGTGAAATTCCAATGCAGTGTTTGATTCCAAGGATAGGAGCAAGGACGCTACTAGGGGCTCCTGGCCTTACTACTAGGAGCATTCTTACTACTAGTAACAAGACGCTACTAGGGGCTCCTGGCATCGCTACTAGGAGCGATCGGACGCTACTAAGGTCCAGGTCCATTTGTTCGATCATTGGGCCGGTTTCCGTCGAGGCTGAAACAGCTGTTCAGGTGATGAAGGCGTTCCAGAACATGTTTGCAATGAATTGGTGCAGGCTGCCTGCTTGGATGCTTGGTCCTAGTACAGAGTGTCTGATACAGGTACATACGTGACGTAGGTACAATCTTCGAAAGGCTACTCTACCTGGAATTTACCGGCATTTGCTGACCTCAAGGTCTGAAGTAAGCTGTTCCAAGCAAGCTCAATGCCTGGGATCCTTGGATCGGGAGTTCCTACGCTTTTGGCGAACGATTGTGTGCGCGCCCAGGATGGTGAAGCAGCAGGCTTCACGGCCATGACTGCAGGCTGCTGGGATTTGCAGGGTGGTTTGGCGCTGAAGTGTCCGAAGCAAAATTCACAGACATGGTTTTGTCTGAGGCACCTGGATACACCTGGCTCTTGGTTCAAAACATCTGGAAAGATTGTTCCCACCAGAGAGACTTGTGGCTCTGACATTATCCCCAAAAAACTTTGACCTGCCGGAGTTTTTTTTGTCGCGGTTTCCCTGGCCATTTCCCCGTTCGGATGAATCACTCATTCCAACAGCATCAGGCTTTTCCAACTACGTCTGGCAGATCTCTTGGGAAGACCGACCTTTGGTCGTGTGCCTTGGTAGCTGCAACGAAGGTCGTTCCATGGACGAAGGTCGTTCTTGGGGTTGCCGTCGGAACAAGTTCATGATTGTGACTTCAGTGTTCCTTTTTTCCCCGAAGCACCTGAGCTGGTTTAGGTTTCAACAGACATGTTTCAACCAAAAACTGAGGAAGTGCTTCACTGATCTTGTGCTCTTGCGCGTGGAGATGCATGCTGCTCCTGGAATTGAGCATTGCAGAGACGGTACTTCCTGTCACAGGTATTTCGATACTTGTTGGTTCTAGATGGTCAAGTTGAAGCGGCAAGCGGGAGGAATAAGACATGCGCAATGGTCCTCGCTGTTTCCCTTTAAGCCTGACACAAAGAGGCCTCCCAAACGACAAACCGTAGAGACCAGATGACACGCGTGGCTCTGTCCAAGTACAAAGCGAGGAACCAGATGGGGATGAGTCAAAACCTGGAGCCCCGGTCCACCATACTAGGAGCAAGGACGCTACTAGGGGCTCCTGGCCTTACTACCGCAAGTATCGTTGGTAGGTCAACCAAGGTCTCCGGGTTTTGACACTTTGCGAAGCTGGTGAGGCGACAGGCTCCCCACATGAGTTGCGCAGTGCAGCTAAGGTTGGTGCCATCGATCAGCTGGCCAGTGCTTGCCATGTTGGACCCCGAATCCACAGCTGTTGCCATTTGGGAATGGTCATGGACTTCTTGCCTGGTCGGACACTGGAGGAGGCCTTTGGCGGCTTCAGCAAGGGATCACGCAAAGTTTAAATAAAGTAAATATATAGTTATATAAAGAAGGAATGCTGGAATGCTGGAATGCTAGGTGTTTGTGTTTGTTTGTAATGGTGCGCCGCAAGGTTGTTTTGCTGACTTTTCTTACGGAACAGTCAGTATACACAATACAGTACAGACGGAACATCCAAATTGGCTTGATGTGCTTGTGATTATGTATTATATATGCTACTGGTATACTTATCGACAGTGGGTTCACGGTTCTATTTGGTCAAAGGAAGAAGCGCGTGAAGACAATAGTTTGGTCAAAGGAAGAACATATTCAACCGCGCGAAGACATGCTTTGATTGCCCACCCCAAGCCAGTATGATTTCCAACAAAGAGGGAATCGGTGCTTTTTCTTAGCGTTTGAGCGCTTGTCGCTGTGAGGCGGACGTGCACTGTGGGAATTGGAAGCTCCTGGAGCAGATCGCCAGCAGGCTCTTTGAGTTCCACAGGCGCAACAAGGGGTCAGACACGGTCGGAAGCCTCACGGAGTATCTGTGAACGGTATAATACAACGATATATAGTCGAGAGATCGATTGAGGGTGCAAGTGTCATCTACTCAAGGTCCATCCCAGTGGCTGTGAAATGCTCAGGAGGACCCTGAAGACACATGGTTTTGGCCTTTGATCGTTCAAGCGCATGTGCTTAACACTGGACAGTTCACCAAGGCGCTTGACCCCTTGGCTGCGATGTTTCATGATTTCTTAATCATCGGTTCGGTCCATTTGATTTCATTTGTACAAGTAGTTCGACCAGAGGGTAGCAGGTAGTATGAACCTGCCATCGGGATTGAATACCGATATCAAGAAAACCCTCCCTCCCAAATCTTCAAAGCATATCCAATGGGGATGTTTCATTTTTCGCGGTGATTATTTGTTTTTCTGCTCGGCTAGGCAGGAGATCCCAATGGCTGCGATGGGCGAGCCCATGCTGTGGCGGACCATGGAGAAAATGCTGCTGGTGGTCGACGGCCAAAGCTCCGTGGTTGACAAACATTCTTGTTTCTACGTTCGCTTCTTGTTACTACTAGTAAGGCACTTGTTACTAGTAGCGATGCACTTGTTACTACTAGCTTCTTTGCTCCTAGGTCGACGGCCAAAGCTCCGTGGTTGATGCACGATTTGTTCCTAGTAGCGTTCTTGTTACTACTAGTAACAGGTGCCACGCTAGTAGTAACAAGTGCCTTACTACTAGTAACAAGAAGCTATTAATTTAAATTTGATTCTAATAGCTTCTTGTTACTACTAGTAAGGCACCTGTTACTACTAGCGATGCACTGGTTTCTAATAGCTTCTGGTTACCTGACAAACATGGGGACGCCTCTCACGATGTTTCTATGTTCTTTCCACTCTCATGATATGTGATATCAGCACTTCGTTTGTCACTAGAGTTTCAAGATGATCAAAGCAAGCACACTCCATCCAGACAAAGCTTGAGCCAATCACTTAGAATAAATGCTAATTAAGTGCTGTGATGTGCTTTCAACCCTTAACCCACTCAAGGCCTCCCAGCCAAAGTCCCTTCGCTGGCGGAGATCCGACGAGAGCTGGCCTTGGCACGAGAAGCCTTGGAGCGTTTTGAGCCCAAGGCACTCAGGGTCTGCTTGAGTGAGGCCCAGAAGCACCCCAGGCCTAGGGGGAACCATCAAGACGTGATTGGGATTTGCGAAACTTTGCAGGACACTCACACGATTTTATGTGTGCTCTCATGGAGGTGTTCATAGACTTTGGAGAAAGCAAAGCCTTCTGACAAGAAAAACATAACAAAACACGCTTTCAATCCTCTCTCCCGACTCACAACTCCGGGCGTTGAGATCCTGGAGCGATTGAAGATCCTCCCCACCACAACTTTGGAGCAGATGCAGAGCTTATGTCAATCGATGAAGCTCAGTAGCCAAGCATATTTGGACGCAGATGGATGATGCCTGTAGTAGAGACATTCCCGAACATCCACGAACATTGCAGCTATGAAATTTCATTCTGTAGTGCCTTGATTTGTCTCTTTGAGTCTTTTCTCACTTGCTGGGAGGTGGTTTGCGGCCATGGGGATTTCAAGCCTTCGAATGTCATTGCACATGAAGGCACAGGATGGCACGGGGGAACCAAGTGGAGCATTGATGGGTTTCATCCAGGCATCCTACCTGCTGTCGGTCCAAAAGGATCTCTATCAGTTGCCAGACTTGTCCCAATTCGATGTGACACTAACTGAAAAGACATCGAGCGAGTTGTACATGAGAGATTTAGCTTTTCCACCTGCGATTCCGCGGTTTTTGGTTGTCCAGCAATATCCCTCCATGTCAATACCTTTCCAGTTGTGCAGACAGACATGTTAGTCCCCAGTCCCGACCAATCTGCGACAGAGAGTCTACGCCAGTCTATTATAACCGTTTTGTGTCCAGGAGAAACCTGGGTCATACGATGGTTCACACCTCGAGCAGCAGGGGACTTTCGGTGCAGCATGTGCTAGGTGAAGTGTGGCTCATTGATTTTGAACTCGGAGGCGCGGGGTCACCTTGGGCCGCCAATTCCCAGCCAAAGATTGCCTTTGAGTCTCTCAAGCGATAGCTACTAATCCAAACAGGGTGTCGGACACAAGTCGTGTTTTTTTGCATACTTTGGCTGCTTGAGTTTGGTTTGCTAGCTGATGGACATCCAATGCTAACAAGACAGTTCTGCCAGGAGTTCCGCTATGAAGTGGTTTTTTTTAACGGGGTTCCGATCGCCTTGTGACCCCTGTTCAAACATGTTCAAAAGCTTCCTCCCTCTTCATGGGCACTGACCACCATTCACGAGGGCCAAATTCTTTCTTCAGCTGAACAAACAGACTGACCTGCTAATTGTGTCGCCACAGGTGTCGCTTCAAGCGACTTCTGCTCAATGTGTTTTCGACCGTAGGTCCCAACTACCGGGGCTTCGACTGGATGAAGCTGCTCTTTGGTCGCAAAACTATGTGGCCCATCAGGGCCTTTGCTCACGGATTTTCACAGGGCTCGAAGTGCAGTCAACACTCACTTCCACACATTCAAGGGCACTACTAGTAGCAAGAAGCTAGTAGGAACAAGGGCACCGCTACTAGTAACAAAGGCAC